ACAAACTGAGGCAGGTTCCTGACTGTCAGCGATGCGCTGTGGCATGCAAAACGCACTCTTAGCTGCTTCCCACGGAGAGGCATGTTGTCTAATTCCACCTTTGCAATCTCTGCCAGAGTGCGAGTTTCCTGAAGATAAAAAAAGTCATCATTAAAACTCTCAATGCAGCATGGAATCAGCTACGTACACAACAGAGTCACAAGTGTATTTCTCCTGAACAAGTACTTCACAGAGAGGAACAAATGAACCTCCCACAGTGTGTTAAAAAATGCCCTGACCAACCACAGCTGTTCTCCATTACCAATGACTTTACCTGAATACACACGTAGAAAGTTTGGAGGAGGAAAAAGAAATGTATCGGACATAAGCCTAATCTGACAGCCAGTGAAAACTAAGTGAACAATGATCATTATCTATCAGATTTATCAGTATATTAAGGCTACAGAACGAGTTGCTCTTTTTTCTTAAAAAAAAATAAATACATTAAAAACCTCATGCTCCAGCCACTGTTGTTGGGGCTTTCGGAGATGTAGCACCTGAGCCAATAACGTCTGAGAACCACGGCACCATGTCAGTAACCACACCTCAGTGTGATCGCTTGGAGCTTCTCCCCTGCCACAAGAGCACTCATCACCCCAGCAGTACCGAGTGATTACCTACGGTCACAGAAATGTCTCGTTCACACCCTCCTAGGAGATGTCTACCTGGTCTGTAACAGCATCAGGTGCGTGTTTTCCTTCTCTTTTCTCTCAGCTGATTCCAGAATACCTTTACCAGGTATCTCAAACCCTGCCACACGCTGCCCCAATTGACATTCCTTCCTATACCAGGCTCTAGACAAACCACTTGTAGAAGCTGATCCGTGACTGTAATCCAGGTCACTTAAAATCAACAGTGGGCTTAATTACCTGAAGCTACCTGAACATTTACTACTTCCAGTTAGCAGCACTCCTCTAGCATAGGTCACTGCCACAAAAACATGCCTAAGGTAGCAAGTCACTCACCAGCCTGATAAAGCCAAAGCCTTTGTCCTTGTGTATGAAGACTTCCCCTGCCTTGCCATACTTCTCAAACAACTTTCTCATCTCTTCCTCTGTAATGTCTGGGGGCAGATTCCCCACAAACAGGCGGCTTCTCTGAGTGAAGGTCTTTTCACCGGGTTTCCGGAAATTCTTCAGGTCAATAGTCAGGCCTTCATCTGAGGGGAATAAGGTACACAGCTGCTCTACAGTTGGGGGGATAAATTCTATTAGGTTTCATCACAGTGAACGCAGAGACATAGGACAATACAGGTAATACCACCCCTTCGCTTAGACCTCAAACCTCCCCAGCCATCTCTACAGCAACGAGGGGATTTTACTTCAGAATGGTCACTCGGGCTTCAGCTTTTGGGTAACTGCTCAAGATAACCAACCCACAATAAAATCTGTGGTCGCAATACAAAATTTTGCTATTACAACCTGAATAAGGACAGGAAAGCTGCAGCTTGGCCAGCAATGAGATTTTTACTGAAGAAAAAAAAGTTTTAAAAAAATATGCAAAAAAGAGTTAATTTTGCCCAGACAAGTAACATTTTAATTGGCTGGTATTCTATGAGATAGGATTTGGGTTCTAGAGTCTTGGGTTCCAAATTGAAGAGAAGACTGGAATGGCAAAAAAAGAAAAGAAAAAAAACTAAGAATAGCCACGTAGGTAAGACCTCAAAAATAAAAAAATCTATATTCAGTAAGTAATGCTACATCTAAACTAACAAACGGGACTTGTTACAGCAACCCCCTCAATCCCCCACGTGCACAATTCGCTTAAGCCCACAGTTTAGCTGAAGCCCAGCACGATCCGGAAGCCCTGCTACAGGCGGACGGCTTTATGACCTCTTTACCTCCCTCCGTCCCCTTTTCTTAAAGGGACCCAAAACCTCCCTGCACAGCAAGCTGTAAAAAGCAATTCCGCTTTTTTGTTTTGTTTTGCTTCCGTCTTTTATTCCCTTTGCAGTTTTTCCTCTTTTCTATTTGACCCAAGCAGCAGATCCATTCCTATCCCATCTGCTGTGCACAGGCTCCACCTCAGGGCCACGTGTCTGCAGTAAACTCAAGCGGTTCGATTCAGACTACAAAGCAGGGTTCTAACCAGGAAGAGCTATTCATGCAAAGGCAACTGTTAAAGACAAGCCTTTCGTGAGTACAAGCACACCTCCACAGCTAACTCTTAAAAAAAATCGCGCTGACAGCATATAGAAGGGTAGCGTAAGGACAGTAAGTGATTTACTGCACACCGCTCAGTCACTTGGGTGAAGCGTTTGTCTCGCAAACGACTCCAGGCTGTTACCACAAGTATTCGGGGGTCAATTGCAAGGCCTGCAAATACCCTAAGCGGGACTTAGGGCAGCGTTAACCAGCATCGCTGCTCCACCTTAAGCAGATCCCCTCAAAGGAGTCTGAAGTACAGCCTGTCACTCCAAGCTGATCCCTCGGAGAACACAACAATGCTGCTCCTGTGCTGCATTGTTCCCAACCTGACTGGAAACAAACTCCTTGGCCACCCTTTTCTGTGATCCCCCACGAACCTGTTTAGCAGGATCGCTTAATGAAAATACCCGTGAGTTTTACACCAGGCAAGCATCTGCATGTGGGCGCACTTAAACATGCAGCTGAGAGCGAAAACCACAGAGGAGCCACGCACAAGGAGCACAGCCAGAAGCGCATTTAGCTCAGGAAAAAGCCTTTGAGAAAGCCAGCAAAGCGCGCATGCAACTTTTCTCCTCTTTTGCTTTGAAAAGTCGGCAGCGAGACTTCGAAAACAAAAGAAAATAAAGCAGATTTTTAACACCAGCAGAGAACTTTCCCTCTGTCTGGGGGCGGGGGGGGCAGCGCCCTGCCTCCCTAGCCGCAAACCATGCAGCTGGATCAGCCGCAGCCCCAGGGGCCTTCACCCTGCGATCCCCCCTCCTGCCCCCCGAGCAGCAGAGCCGCGACCCGGGCCCGTGAGGAGCCGAGCGGCGCCCGGAGCCGCCCCCCCCCCCCCCGCGCCCCGCCCCGCACTCACTCTGGCTGTTGGCCTGCTGCCCGTTGGCGGGCCCGGCGGGCGGCGGGTGCGGCGGGTGCTGGTGCTGCTTCCGCGGCGCGTGGTTCTGCTTCTCCATGCCGAAGCCCTTGTTGCCCTGCATCTTCCCCACCTGCGGGGCACAACGCGAGGCTCAGCACACGGAGGGGGGGGCAAGGCCCGGCCTCACCGGGACCCCCCCCCCGCTCCCCTACACCCCCTCCGCCCGCCTCAGAGGCCGCGCGTGGCGGCGGGGCGGGGCCCGGCGGTGGCCGCTGAGGCGCGGGGCGGCCCCGAGGCGGCTCCGAGGCGGTCCCGGCCTCACCTGGCGGCGCCGGGGCGGCTCGCGGCCTGCTGGGCCCGCTGCAGCCCGGAGCCCAACGCGCGCGCGGCCGGAACTGGCGCACCCTACCCCGCTGCTCCCGCCGCCCGCCCGCCTATTGGCTGCCCCGCCGCGCTGCCCCGCGCTCCTATTGGCCGCTTTCCCCGTCACTCACCGGCCGGCCGCGGCGGGGCGGGCCGAGGCGGGCGTGCGGCCCTCTGCGCGGCGCCGATTGGCCGCGAGGCGGCGGCGGCCCCCCGCGCGCTCCGCCAATCAGCGCGGCGGGCATCAGGCTGGGTTGAGAGGCGAGCGAGGGGACAAAGGAGCCGAGCGAGCCGCCGGCGGCCGCCGCGCAGGCGCAGTGAGGGCCGGGCGCCGCGCATGCGCGGTGCTGCCGGGAGGGAGGGGAGGGAGAGGAGGGGGGGTGCCCGCGCTGCCTCTTAAAGGGGCCGCGTCCCGCTCCGAGCGCGTGCAGCGCCGTGCGCGCCCCCGCCCCGCAGTGCCCGCGCGCGCGTGCACGGGGCCGGCAGGGGCGGGAAGGGCGTGAGGGGAGCGCGGGGGGGCGGGGCGAGGGGGTGGGGGTGTGGGGGGGGTGAAGCCTCGTGAGGGGGGCGTGAGGGGGCGCTGAGGGGGGGGCGTGTGAGGGCGGGGCGCGGGGGCGGGGCGCGGGCCGGGGGCCGGGGGAGCCCCTCCCGGGGGCGGCGCCGCGTCCCGGGCCCCCGCGAAGCCCCGCCCGGCCGCGCTGTCACTCACCGCCCCGGGGAGACGGCTCCAGCTCCGGGGAGGCGGCGGCGGTGGCGACGGCGGCCGGGCCGGGCCGCTCCCCCCCCCCCCTCCCCCTCCCCCTCCGCTTCCCCCTCCCCTCCCCACCCCGCCGGTGCGCAGGTAGAGGCCGGGGGCGGCGGCGAAAGGGTTAACGGGGGGTGGAGGGGGGGGTGTGAGGGGGGCAGCGTCCCGCTCCGTGAAATCCGCCCCGCGGGCAGCGGGGGGCTCGGGGTGCCCCGTCCCGACCCCCGGGGCTCGGCTCCGCGCCGTGCCGCTCCGGGATCCGCTCCGGGTTTTCCGTGCGGCCGGCACGGTGCGGGCTGCGCGCTCCGCTCCGCTCCGGAGCCTGCAGTCCCGCTCCGCGTTTTGGAGGCCGCCGCCTGCCAGCGAGTCTCGCGAGCCCCAGTCCGCGGCGCGGCCAATGGGGACGCGTCCCTCGCTCGGCGCGGCCAATGGGGAGCTGCCCCCGCCCCCTCCCGGGCCCGCAGCGCGCTGAGGGCTCCGAGCGGCGCCTCCATTTAAAGGGGCCGCGACCCCGCAGCGGGGCTGGGGGCAGAGCGGGCGGCGCGGCGCCGGGCGGCCAGGTGCGGGCGGCGTCGCCTCCAGGGGGCCCCTCCCTGCGGGCAGCGCGGGGCGGGAGGGGGGGGGAGGGAGGGAGGGGTGGGAGGGGGGGGGCGCGCGGCGGTGGGCGCGGGGAGGGGGGGGGCGGGGCGGGCGCGTGCGGAGCGGGGCCCCCGCAGGATGGGGGGCGGGGCCTGGAAAAGGGGGCGTGGTCTGTAAAGGGGCGTGGACCTAGAGAAATGGGCGGGGCTAAAGGAAAGGGGCTGGGCTTGTGGGGAGGGGGCGTGGCCTGGAGAGGGGCGGGGCCGCTGGGGGGCGCCACTGGGGCTGGGGCTGGGGCTGGAGCTGGGGCTGGGGTGGTCCCGGTCCTGGTCCTGGTCCTGGTCCCGGTCCCGGTCCTGGTCCCAGTGTCAGGGCCGTGCTCGGGGCCCTCGTTACCAGCCCCGTGGGGCTGCCCGGCTGGATCGCTCGCCTCGCGTCCCCTATTTGGGACCCGATGGGCACCCTCCCTGAGACCCCGTGGCCTTCTCCCACTTTCCCCAGCAGCAAGGCTTGGTCGAAGAACCCTAGGAAGAAGGATCCAGGTTGGGAGGGACCTCGGGAGGTGTTGGGAAGCGATGTGAGTGCCCCTGATGGGTGGGCACGCTCCTGATGTTTGGGTGTTTGCTGCTAGTGCAGCAGTGCTGGAGCACCAGCACGTAGCGCTGAGACCCCAGCAGCATGGGCAAGTCTCTTTGGAGCCTTCTGGTCAACCCAAAGCCAAGTTCGGCAAGAAGTCAGCAACCCGTCCTTCCTTTAGCATGGAGCTGAGATGAAGTTCCTCAAAGGCAAGCTCAAAATCTGGCTCAGTTGGCCGTGCCATTGGGGAATTTCGGGGACCCCGAAATTGTGCAGCACCATCTGCTCTGTGTCAGGGGGTTTGGCGTTCTGATCACTGCTGCTGGTTGCTGTGGGTGAACCGAGAGAACCGGTAACACGCAGGGAGAGCACAGCGGGCAGCTGTCCCCTGAGCCCTGCCTGCAAAGGGCAGGCTGAGGAGCTTGTCCAGGGACACTGGCAGTAGCTGCGGCTGACTTGAGAACTGCTGAACGCTGCCCTAAACCCTCTGACTTGCAGTTTTACGTACCGCTGGGTCAGTCGTTTAAGCAGGCGATTGTCTGTGGTGGTGACCGTGTAAGAGCTATCTCTGGGTTTGTCGAACCTTGACTTCCAGCCTTCGGAGCATTCCTGTGCGATTGCCTGTTTCTCCAGAGTCCTTTGCTATCTTGGTGGTTTTATTGAGATGGGTCATGTTGCATCTCCCCGTTTCTTTCTATAATCAAACAGGTTTATCAATGGAACGTGCTTTCTAAGCAATGATTGAGTCTTGAAACAGTGGGGTTCTCCTATTACAGGGTCAGCTGTGTTTCGGTTCTGTTTTTTAAGCACCTCAACTCCTCCAGTCTCTGTCTGCACGTGCAGACACACCACCAAGAAGGCAATGGTCATGGTCTGTCGTGGCAGTGATGGACTGCACGGCACCAGAGGCGTTGTGCTCTCTGAATGCCTTTTGGGCTGCCAGGTGGGAGGCAGAGCCGCCTCTCCAAAACCACCAGTGAATAATGAAATCATTTCTGCCCCTTTCCAGAGAATTTTGTCTGGCCCGCAGTAGTGCACTCGGTTCCCCGGTGATCCTTCATGAATTAATTTGCTTTAAAACGAGTTAGGCAATCTGTAATAAATGTTTGCAGTGCTTAAATCTGGAAGGCTAGAAGCTGCCCAGGTAAACTCGGATAGATTGCCACAATGAAGTTAGCCTTTGCCGCATTTGTCATCTATCCTTAATGAAGATGTGTTGCCTAGAACCATGCTGGTAGGACATTGTATTATTTCCTTAATTTTTTATGGATGGAGCCATGTATTGACTGTCATTGTTTTTGTCAGGAAATACTAGTTTGGATGCTACAGTTTATTCTAAAATTTGGTGCCAAAATGAGAATTTCCTTCAGAGCTCTCTGCTCAGGTCTTACAGAACTGGTAGGTAAGAGCTAGCCGGAATGTCGATGAAGTGTCTTAATTGTGGCAGTTCTCATTTAATGCTTTCTGTGTACCAAATGATCTCGAGTGAAAAAGGTAAATACTTCAGCCTTCGAAATCTTTAAAACCTGAATCCGCATCCAGCGACAAGCCTGGGAGAGGCACCCAGGCAGGCGCTTGCTGGGGGAAGGCAGCCGGTCGCTGTGCTCTTCTCTGGGCACCGGAGACCTCCGAGGCCCTCGCCTCACGGTGAGGGAGCACCAGCAGGATTTTTTTTCTCGCTGATTTTAATTAAATCCTTGATGGTAGCTCCACGGTTTTGCAGGTAGGCCGTGCATTCCCCTGCTAACAGGCAGCTGAGTAAGGACACTCGGATGTGGAAGATGCGTGCAGGTACAGCACCAGTGGTGCCTTGAGCAAGGTGCATAAAGCCCCAGCCAGTCGCTTGGAGACTTGTGTGTCCCAGCAGAGATGGATGTGACGGTCAGAGCTGTGCCTGGGTGCTCCTGGAGGACCCTCAGCAGTCCCTGTGCCTCCCTGGAAACTCTTGCACCTGAGAAGCACTGTGCTTTGGGCTGTCGTGCAGGGGGCTTCGCTCTGAACCTCATCTTCCCAGGGATATCTCTTGCTGAATGTTCTGGAGGGGATGGTGCCGAGTCCCAAGGGAGGCGTTTCCAAACATCTGATTGTGGGCAGATTGTGAAAATGTGCAGGATTTCGGCATGCTGTCTCCTGTTTTTTTTTTTTTTATTGAGTAATCTTGCAGTGTAGTCCCCTCCTTGCCAGGTATGGCTGTAAAAGGGGGAGGTTTCAGGCAGACCGATGACCAGAGCCCAGTGAGTGATCTGCGCGTTAGGTAGTCCTGGAATAAAAAGGAGATGAAATGTAGTGGATCAGTTCAGCATCTGCCAGAAACAATAAGCTGTTATCCATCCGTCAGAGGTAGTGAGAAGAGACCTTACCAGGAGGTAAAGCTCACATTCAGCTGGCAGCATAACTCGCTGTGAAGCTCGCAGAAAGTCCAGACGAATCTGAAAGCCTGGGGCAAGCGAAAGAAGCAGGGTTTCTTACCTTGCTGCCTGCAGCTGGGCAGCTCTAATTTTCTCGGGTTGAGTTCAGCTTCAGAGCAACCCACGGAGCTGTAAAGCATCCTTCTCTCCTGTTCTAGGGGCTGCCTTCTTGATCCTGATCAGCCGGCAGTTGGAAGTCGCTGTAAAGACTTTGCTGTCAGGGAAACAGCATTGCAGTGATGGGCAGAAGCATTCCTTGCTTTCCCACCCAAACTGCTTGCGGCATCATCACCTCCTGGGGTCCATCTCAACATGAACTCTATCAGCTCTTCCAGATTTTGATAAGTACATGAGAAGTCAGCGCCCATCTGTTTCTGCATCTACTTGTCACGGAGCTCTGCTGCAGCAGGAAAAAATATTTTTTAAAACAAAATGTTAGGCTGCAGGAGGTGTTAGAATGGGAGCTTTTGGAGGCCCAAAATATAAATTGGTCCAAAGGGGGATTAGTCAAATTCGCTGAGGATTTGTCCAGTACAGCCTCCTAGCAGCGACAGTCTCAGTGCAGCTCGAGCCAAGCAGTTCTTCAGCAGCTGATATGGGAGGATGCCCTGAAGAGGAATTGCCCAGTTAGTTCTGTTTCTCATTCTCTCTCCCCAGCTTTCCACTCCTGGTGTGAATAGGGATGGGAAGCTCGAGTAGATGGACATTTTGCTTGACTGACTGCGGCAGTCCGTAGCTTTGCACACCCTGCGAAGATGTTTCGGGCTGCTCACCAGAATGTGGGCTGTCCTGCTGGGGGGTTCGGACAGAGCTGCTGAAAGAGGACAGGAGCTTGAGCACACAGGGCAAGCACTGTGCTTCCAGCCAGGACTTGCGAGTGAGTGCTCCTGCTGTGGGCTCTCAGGTCTTTCTTGTCCACATATCTCTCCCCCCACATACCAGTATTTTGGAGTTTACTCAACCTGCAGGATACTTGTTCCCTTTAAGACCGTTGTGCTGGTCGGTGTCGTCACCAGTGAGTTTTGTCAGAGTCTTGTCTTGCATCATAACGTCCTCCTGCACAGAGCTGGAAAGCCAGCGTTAAGGTAGGCTCTGTTGGAACCAGCTGCTTTCGTTTGTTTGGCAGGGCACGCAAATAGCATGGCGAGTTCGTAGGTTTTCCTAGATTGCTGCTTGGGTTATCCTCTAGGAAGGAATGCCAAAATGGATTTCGTATGCTCCAAAATTGTTCCCAGGGTCTCTTGCTACTAGGCAAAGCCTAGGCCAGCTGCAGGTAGCAAGTGCTGTAGGAGTATCACCTCTCTGGTTCCTTGCAGACTTGCACAAAAGTGTGTAAATGAGTTTTCCTTCCTCGTCTGAGGGGCTCAGCCCTTCTGCTGCTTGTTGTTCTGAGGTCTGTTGTCCCGCGCCCAGGTTTCCAGAGAGACACCTTTGAGAAGGAGGCGTTGTTTGTGTTCAGAGCAGCTGAAAACAGGTTTGTCTTGAGGGGATTCAACTTCTTACGACCTTTCTTTCAAATGTCTTTACTTCTGCTTTACTCTGTTCTCCTCCCTGTCACCCACCCTAAAACTCACGTTAGGCTGTGCATTGCTCTAGAATTAGCTCTTTCTGGAAGCTTTGTCTCTTTGTAACTGAAGAAAATGAATGGAATAATCAGTCTTTATTGGTGAGACTTGCTGAGACTGTGAAGATGACAATTTCTGTAGTTTCTGTTTGTGACTGGGGGAACAGTACTTATCTGGAACAGAAAATGTTGCAGTGTTTTTAGATAAAAGGAAGGAGATAATGACTTTCAACTCCAGCTGTAAGGTATGATTTCTTCAACTCCTGCTTAAATGAGGCTCAGAAGTTGGGTACCTTCTCTGTCCAAATATTTCTTGTGTAGTTCTGAGTAAACCCTTTGTGAGTAAGATTTGTTTGTCCTTTCAGAGGATGTAATGGAAGCACTTGCTCAGCTATCACAGTGAAATTGCTTCAGGCCTCCTCCTTCATAGCTATGGGTGTGTTATGCTCATGGTAAGCCCAAACGGGCAGGAATACTGAATGTCCAGGGTTCAAAACAGTGCCAAATTCAGGATTAGGATGATTCTAATAGGGGAACAGGTTGGTGCCACATCTTTTGATTACAGCGCCTTCCCTGTAGCGTCTAGTTGCAGCCTGTTTTGGGGACGTGATGCTGCATCAAGTCAGGCTCCAGCTCCCTTTCCCTCTTTAGGCTTTTCACCTTCTGTCCCGTTGCAGGGGTACGTTTTGTCGTTAGCCACAAGAATACAAACGCCTTCTGGCCTCACCTCATGGTCTTGCCCTTCCTGCCTTGCGGTGGCGTTGGCTGGAGGAGCTGGGCTGCAGCTTTGTCCGTCTGGTGGTGGTAGATGGCAGCACACCTCCCCGCGGAAAAAAATTCATTATTTTTTTTCTGGTTGTTCTCTGAGTGTTGGCCCCCATCGCTATGGCCCCAGGCTGTAGCTGTAGTTAGGGGGTAACGTGGTTCGTGTCTGTCCTCTGACAAAACTCCTGCATTTTGTCATGTTGCATCTCCTTCAAGGACCAGACTGTAGAGCTATAATCAAGTTCTTTCTGTTTCTGTGCTTAAGAGAAGAGATATTTTAAAAATAAAAGATGGGTTAGCTGTGTGCTAGCAGATGAGGAGAAAGGACAGGCCAGATTATTCGGGTCTGCTGAGATACAGAGGAAGGCAGCGAAAGGCTTATTACGCGTTGCAGAACAGCTGCGTGGAGCCTCCTGAACTGGTGCTCAAATCATTTCTGATATCCCACTGTGTCCTTTAGCATAAGCACGTCTGTTTGCCACGCTGCGGCGAGGGGTGTGGATGCTATAGAGAATTCTGAAAGGTTTGCTTTGCCGAACGGCTGCATCTCGCTGCTGCTGCTCGGCCTCAGAGCTCTGTAACCCCACGAGCAGATGCGATTGACTTTTTGGGATGCTGGGTGTTGCGAGAATCTTACCGGGCCTCCAGTTACTCCAGCAATGTTCAGAGGAGTGGGCAATTCATGCACCATTAGTCTATTTTCCATTAACTTGCAAGTGTCTCTCTCGTTTCCAGTTGTCATCTTCTAAATGGATTCCAGTGAGTTTTCGGGCTCGTTGGACCCCCTGTCTCTGCCTGACAAACCACTTATTGGCGATCTTCCTGCTGACATGGAGTTTGGGGAAGATCTCCTGGGCTCCCAAACAGCTTCTACCCAGGAGGCTTCCGTTCTTCAGCCCCCTGACTGGGATCAATCCAAGCAGGTGACCGCAGACGGGGACTTGGACCTTCTAGTGAAGGGGGACAGCCTGTCTGAACTAAACAAATCAAGTGACCTCAGTCTAGATAAACCTAGTGTCTTGGACATGCTGGAGAAACCCGGTGTCTTAGATGACCTGGATAAAACTGCTGGCTTGATGGAGCTAGATAAATCGGAGGGTCTGGACGGGCTGTATAAGGCACGGCCTTCCCAGGACGCAGAGGATGGGCCGGGGGACTCCTCTGCCCCCTCTAGAGAAGCCCTCGTTCCAGAAACGTGGAAAGAAGGGGAAGACGCACCAAAAAAAGACTCTGGGGACCTAAAGGAAGATGGTGCTGCTGCTATTCCTGCGCCGTCTGATGACAATGCCCCCGAATCGCCCCCACAGCCCGTCCCTCACTCTGGAGACCTCGGCAGTGCCCCAGCCACAGAAGAAACCACAGCACAATCCTCAGCTCCGCCAGCGGCCCCTGCACAGCTCAGTCTTAAACAGTCAAAAAAGACGAGGTTGAAGGCACCAAGGAAAAGCTCGCCTGTGCAGAGGGAAGGGCCTGCAGGGGAAGCAGAGGTGGAGCTGAGCCCGGACAATAATGCAGCAGCTCTGCCCCATGAGCCCACGGAGGAAAACCAGGCGGAGGAAGGAGATGACAACGGGAACAACCCCCTTAAAGAAAGTAGCGTACCGAAGGCACAGGAAGCTGTGCCACCAGCAGGTAGGTTGTTGGCTCTGCAGGACTCGGCTTCCTGTAGCTCAGAGGGCTGCCGGCTGAAGTTGGAGGCTGTTCTCCACTCCAGCTTTCCCCATCTTCCCCTGCCATGGAAATCATTGGGGCTGCTGATGGGCTAGATGTGGAAAAAGTGTCTTGCCTATTAGGAATAACGTTCTGGAAGCTGTTCCTTTGGTGCACACAAGCTCTTGCTCTGGTTTTCGTAGCTTTAACTTTGATTTTTAATGTTTGTGGCAGCTAGGAGCTCCCCTGATAAAGCTGCTGCTGTACATCATCCTAAGTCACGCTCCTCATCATTGGAGTCCTTCCTGGAGATGAGGGTGACCAGAAGATGTTTCCCACAGCCTGCCTCCCCTCGTGCAGGGAGGTCTCTCTTCTGTTGGAGAAAACCAAGACGTGAGATTCAAGTTTCTTTGTGCTTCTGTTGCAGGAGAAGGCCTGTCTGGGAAGGGAAGCGAGACGCCAGCTGAGAAGGTGAGGAGAATGCAGTCAAGTACGTATGCTGCTGGAGAACTGGGGGTGTCTGGCTGCTGCCAAACTCACTGAGATGCTGGCTGTCTGGTCACCCCTCTGGGAAGGAGCTTGCATGTCTCCAGTGATGGAGTGGTCCCTGCGTGTGCTGCCACTGTGCTGTACATGTGGCTTCAGCATCTCTCTCCCTGCCACCCCCAGGTGGAATGTCATTCCCATAGGCCTGCCTGCCCCTCTACTCCCCCCCTTGCCATCTCTGGTCAGGTATCCGTGGAGTTTTTTCCTTTTTCAGCCTGGTCATTGGGAATTCAAAACCCAGAGGTTGAAACTGTGCTGTGATCTGAGATATTTACCCATGGTCGTCCCAGCAGATGGTTAGTCTAAGTATTTTCTGAATGTCTTCTAGGAACAGAAAAGAAGTGAACGAGCCAGAAGATCAGAAACTACCAGGCCTGAAACTGTGAACTCCTCTGAGAGCAGTGAGTAACCAGGGCTGGCCGGTGCCTGCCTTCAGCCAGAGCGTGAGGCCTAGGCCCAGCACGGGCAGGCAGACTGTGTTGTGAATAGGATGGGGGTAGGGACTCTGGAGCTTTCGTGCAGCCTTTCCTGTTACACAGGATAGGTCCCTTCGCCCGTGAGTTTTCATTTCAGGGTTCTTGCCTTGATTTCTCAGCGCCTTTAAGTTGAGGAGAGGGTTGTAGTGTTTTTACAGTGGTTTGTGGACAAGCAGCAAGTAGTAATAGGATGAGACTCTGGGGGTGTTCCCAGGAAATCCATCTTCCATCTCCTTAGCCAGAACCTTTCTTCCTTTGCCTCTAAGCCATAAGGCTGTCTGGAGGAAGGTTGTGTTTGGGGGACTTCCCTGTAAAAGTACTTGAGATCTCTGTTCTTTGAGATGCTGAAAGTTGCACTGACATCCCCTAGCATTTTTTGGTTGGTCCTTCCTTGTCTGCCTATGCTGGAGAAGTGTCTGGCAATCCAGCTTGTTCTTTTTAAGGTTTACTGGTCCTTTTAAGGTTTACTGGGTCCCTTTATCTTGCTAACAAGGAAGGTAGAAAGCAGAGAGAGACTGCAGCAAGATGACCACGGAAAGCCCCAGCATGCCTCTCATGGAATGACTTTGTGTCTCAGTTCCTAATGGGGAATTTCTCTGCGTCTTCTGCCTCTGCTTTGCAGTTCCAGTCTCTGATGAAGATTCTGATGCGATGGTGGACGATCCCAATGACGAGGATTTTGTTCCTTTTCGTACCCGACGCTCGACTCGCATGTCCTTACGCACGCAGATGGCTCAGCGAGCCGCCCGCTCTACGGTCACCAAGATGACGTGTGCCAACTGCCGGACCCCTCTGCAGAAGGGCCAGACTGCCTACCAGCGTAAAGGGCTCCCTCAGCTCTTTTGCTCCAGCTCCTGCCTCACCACCTTCTCAAAAAGACCACCTGGCAAGAAAATATGCACCTTCTGTAAAAAGTGAGTGGTCATTGCCCTTTCCTCAGCGATCCCGTGCTTGTGACCCCCCTCACTTGCCCCACAGCCCTGCCTGCCAGTACCCATCCCTGTGATCCTCATGCTTCCTTTGTCTCCCACATCGTTCTTGTCCACTGCCAGGTGTTGCCCCATGTCTTCTGTCACTCGCTGTGTATCCCATCTTCCTTTCACCTCCTTCACATTATTTTTTGTCTCTCTCTGCCAGGCTTAATGCCCCATATCCCTGCCTCCCCTCAAAACAACCCCCTGCATGCTTCACCTTCAGGCACCGCCGCTCTGGGCTGGAGCAGAGGCTGCTGTGGGCCAGTTCTTGCCACCTCCTTGCGATAGCAAAGTCCCTGCACCACAGGATGTCACCCCATTCTTTTGTGGCAGGACTGGTGTGTCCCTGCACTAATGTATTCCTTTTGATCCACAGGGAGATCTGGAACACCAAGGACTCTGTGGTTGCCCAGATTGGTTCAGGAGGCTCTTTCCATGAGTTCTGCACCTCCGTCTGCCTCTCCCTCTATGAGGCCCAGCAGCAGAGACCAGCACCTCAGTCTGCTGACCCCTCAGACACCATCCGTTGCAGCGTCTGCCATAAACCTGGTGAGGTAAGCAAATCCCTTGTATTTTTCTTGTCCCAGATCAGGAGCTTGTGACCTGCAGACCTTGTCCCTGCCTGGAACCGTTGCTGAGCATTTGCTGAGTTCTCCTGTCGTGTGAGGCCTCAGTCCCTGAGCTGCCTCGGGCTCACTCCCAGGCTCTGCCTTGCTGCTGTGAACTAGCCCTTATTCCCAGAAATACAGCTTCTGCTTCTCCCCACCCTGCAGACTGCTACTTTCTGCCACTTCACTCTCCCAGTTGCTCTGCTGGCTCCTGGCAAGAAGCCAGCTTGAGTTGACAGCAGCTTCCAGTAGGGAACTCGCCTGGGTTTTAGTGTAACAGCCCATTCTCCCAAGGGCTGTGTGTGGCATGCATGTGGGAGGGAAACCCGTGGTGTTCTGAGGGAGTGACAGCAGCGGTGTCTCTGCAGATCCAGCACGAGGTCAGCAATGGGAACGTGGTTCACCGCATTTGCAGCGATGCCTGCTTCACCAAGTTCCGAGCCACCAAGGGGCTGAAAACCAACTGTTGTGATAACTGTGGACTTTATATCTACAACAAGGGCTTGCCCCTGGAGTACCTCTTCCACGAAGGCCAGCAAAAGCGCTTCTGCAACTCTGCCTGTCTCAACAGTTACAAGAAGGTGTGTGGAGTCAGCTGCTGGGGGCGAGGGGAGAGGGGGCTCCTCGGTGGGTACACATCTCCCTCGTTCAGTTTGGCACAGGACACTTGATGCAATAAATAGCAGGCAGCTTCAACCCCCTTGGCCTTTTATTGCTGACAGAACAGCTTTAAGAGACTGCTGTGGAGAAACTCTGAAGCAGGCAAATAGAAGTTAGTTGTACTGCTTGGGGCCCATCTTGGAGCACAGGTCAAACACTCAGATACAGGTGGACTGTGCAGTTACACTGGGAAATGCAGTTAGCATGAGATGGCTTCTTTTGGATGCCTCCCCAAAGCTTGGCTGTATCTGTTCCTCTGTGGTCTGAGCAGGCTTTGCTTAACTGTCCTGATAGGACTGCCAGCTTCTGTGTTCCTGCCAGGGTACCCTTGAAATGAGAAGCAGAGGAGCCAAAGGTGGCTTTTATGTACCACCACCTGAACCTGCAGACTGTGAGCCTGGCTCTCACACTGAGTGTTCCCTGTGGTGGATGCTGTAGTGGGGTGGAGTGTGAGGGTAGGACCTCAGCGGCTGTGATGGGCTCCCTGGCAGCTCTGCTCTGCTCTGCTCTGTCTTTGCAGAAGAACACCCGAGTTTACCCGTGCATGTGGTGCAAGACGCTGTGCAAAAACTTCGACATGCTGCCCAACGTGGATCGCAGTGGCAAGATGGGACTGTTCTGCTCCATTTGCTGCACTACCTCCCACAAAGTGAAGCAGTCAGGCTTGGTTGGTAAGGGCGCTCACAGGGATTCAGTCACCTCTCCACTCTTAACTCCTTCCTTTGTGCTATTTATGCCTTGTGGATGAGACTGGAAAGAAGGCATGGTGCTCACCTGGGAAGGTGTCTGGGGAGGAGTCCAGGGAGGCAAGTGGAAGGAGATGTGGAGAGGGAGTGACCCTGCAGTACGTAGCCATTGTAATGCTGAGGGGGTAGTGTCCATTGCTGTTCTTGAGAACGCAGGAAGCAGTTGTAGTACTGTGTTGTGCTGGAATTGCACAGAGTACCAGGGTGTCCAGGACTGCGTATGGTCTCTGTTGACTGGTACAAGTATTGCAGTCTGTTTTGTCCAAATTCCTGTAGAGCCAGGATCGCTTCCTTGAACCAGTCTGCTTTCCATCCTTGTTTGATATTTCTGTCCTAGCAGAAGCTGGTGCTCTTAGTTCCCTGGTGTTCTTGTCCCTTCCCTTCTGGTAATAGCTTTCCAGACTGAGGATGTGTGAGTAGCTTGCATGCCATCCTCAGAATCCAGTCCTTTGCTGCTGGCCTCACCAATTCCTGTCTGTTTCATCAGGTCCCCCTAGACCCTGCAGCTTCTGCAGAAAGAGTTTATCTGAACCCTGCTATTACAACAAGACAGACCGGGTTGTCTACCAGTTCTGCAGCCCCAGCTGCTGGACCAAATTCCAGGTACTGAAAAATCCTTCATGCTGGGCTGGGCCCTAGAGCTCCTGCCTCTTTTCACACTTAGCAGAGGCTGCAGCTTCTTCAGGCTCCTCAGGGAGGGTCCATAAGAAAGTCTCTGCTGGAGCACAGGAGTTCCAGTGCCTGTAGCTGTCGCTTTCTTATTCTTGGCCCTACCTCCCCTCTCTTCAGCCGAGATAAGGCTGGCTGTAATTATGTCCTGTCTAGCAGCTTATGCCCAGTGGGAGTGCAGCACAGAACTGCGCTGCATGAGTGGTTTGGGACATAGTGGCCTTACAAAGGTACAAGCAAAAGCACAAATAAGCTAGCAAAGCACCATCAGCACCTGCTAGCATGGAAAGAGGCGGAGCTGCACTCTGAGCCAGGTATCACCAAGGAACATAAGTCACCCAGGTCATGTTGTCTAAGAATTTACAGCCAGCAGGCTTGGAGACCTCATGTCCTAATAGTCCTCAAAGGCTTGGCTGATACTTTTCAGATTTCTGGTGTTGAGTTTTAGCATTTGTGAAATGTTCATGGTATTCAAAGGCAACTGGGAGAATATTAGTTTTGTACTGTTGTCAAAGAACAAAGCAACAGCCAGGAAGACCTGGGAAACTTAGGCCAAGACATGCCTTGGGCAATGGAGAAAACTTAGAGCATCTAGAGGTAGAGAGTTAGTTACTGACAGTTGCAGTGTTTTGTTTTGTGTGTTGTTTTTTTTTTCTATTTCCTCTTCTTTTTCTTTTTTTTTTTTAATAAATCCTTGATATCACAAACAAAAAAAATCCTTGATATCACAAAAAAAATAAAAATCCTTTGAGATCACAAACTGTGGGCAAGGGTAGCTGAAGAGTCTGTACAGGTGTAGACTTCATGAAACACTTGATTTCTTGCCATGTAAAATCAGCATTGTAGTAAATGTGAGTACATGTGAGTAAAGCCATGCATAACCTGGATTAGGTGACGTCTTACTGTCAGATCTCAGAAAAAAACACACTGAAGGGAGTGTTTCATGATGTCGTCTTGGGGATCAGTATTGATATCAATAATATCAACACCTTCATTAGTCATCTGGAAATAATGTCGAAGTAAGCAAGATAAAATTCTGCAGATGAAACAAAAAACGGTGAAGTGTTAACTCATGCTGAGGTCAGAGCAATGCACAGCCATTGGGTTCCTCCTAACGTGTACTTAAATACAGCTCAGTGCAAGATCCTGTATCAGCCTTACCCAGATAATGTGAGGTTGTAAGTCCTGGAACGTAAGGACTTTGAAAAGGCTCTGTGATTGCAGCAGATAAGCTACTAAGCTTGAGTGCCTTGGTCTACAGTTAAAAGTTTGGGGCCTAGGGAGGGAGCAAAAGATCTACCTAGAATGAGGCACAGATAGGAGGGATATTCATCCAATGTCCACGTTTTTAATGCTGAAGAAAAATAGGGAGAGTACTGAAAGAAGCTGCAAAACTACAGGGAGCCTTGAAAATTGTATGTACAGAGGCACTTGCAGAGCACCTTATCAGCAACATAAACAGATTATTTTATTAATAAGGTATCTGTGTTGACAAGACCTCAAGTGCTAAATGGCTCTTTAATCTAGCAGAGGAAGGTGGCATGAGAATGCCTACTTCAATTCTGAAGTTACGTTACCCTGAAAATAGGAACCAGGCACATGTGCTTTGAGATCTTGCAGAGGAAGTCCCAGCAGAGGTAGCAGAGCCCCTATCCCTTAACGTTTTCAAATGCAGAGGGGTGGCAGCCTGAAAGCTCGCCTCCCTGAGCTGCACCCAGTACAAAGGAAGCAAAGTGACATTACTCAGGAGTCTGCTCTCCAGGAGCTTGAGACAACATCTGAGGGACTGACTGAGTCACTGACAGTGGCAGGCAGCACGGGTCTGAGCGGGGCCGGTGGACTGCTGTGATCAGTGGAGCAGGCGGCACGACTGGAGGCAGTGCAGGTCGGGTGCTTGCTGCCCTCCGTGTGCCTCTCCCTCCGTCAGCTGTCTTTGTTTCCTGCAGCGCACCAGCCCGGAAGGTGGGATCCACCTGAACTGCCATTACTGCCACAACCTTTTCAGTGGGAAGCCGGAGATCCTTGACTGGCAGGTGAGGACTTTCCCCGGGGAGCACGTTGAGGCTGAGGCCAACCCCAGCGAGGACCACAGAGCTCTTCCTCTCCTTGCTCAAAGCAGAGCCCCTTCTGAGCCAGTGCCACGAATGCCCCGGCTGCAGAGACCCACGGTCTTGCCCTCGCTTCCCCGGGAAGCCTGGGGACCTCCTGCCAGCCTGGCTGACCTGGTGGCGGTCTCTTTGGCAGGACAAGGTGTATCAGTTCTGCTGCAAGGACTGCTGCGAGGATTTCAAGCGGCTGCGTGGGGTAGTGTCTCAGTGTGAGCACTGCAAGCAGGAGAAGCTGCTGCACGAGAAGATCCGCTTCTCAGGGGTGGAGAAGAACTTCTGCAGCGAAGGTACTTGGGGAAGGCACGGGAGAGGCAGAGCCCCCATGCCAGCCCTTGCTGGGGGAGGAGAAGAGAGCATGGAGTGGAGCAGAGGGGAGACTCTAGCCAGGCCCTGGGGCGAGAGCCTCGCCATGCAGTGAAAAGGGAGGACTGTCAGTGGGGATGGCTTGCTGTCCAGCCAGGCCCGAGGGCAAGATCTTTACCATTCATTGTGTCCTTGGGGAGGGCTTTCTCACAGCTTTTCTCTCTCTGGGGGCTGGGGAGACAGCAGGTGGCAGCTCCGCTCCTCCTGTCATCATGCACTTCTACGCTCTTGCGTCTGGGCTGGCCTGACCTGGCCTTGCCCTGCCTGCTGGGTTCCTGCACACAGGAGGTTGGAGTCAGACTCTTCCTAGAAGCATAGAGGTGAGAGATGGCAAGTCCCCATGAGGTCCCATCTTATCCCAGCCCCAGGGGCCAGTGCTGGATTGTTCCCTACAGTGTGTTGCGCGTGCTCTGTTGTCTCCGCAGACCTGGATTCTGGTCATGTTTGGGTCAGGGAGGCCCCCAGTTCATCCTGGGAAGGTTTCACTCCTATTGTTTCTCCGCAGGGTGTGTGCTTCTTTACAAACAGGATTTCACCAAGAACCTGGGCCTGTGCTGCATCACCTGCACCTACTGTTCTCAGACCTGCCAGCGGGCGGTCACCGAGCAGCTGGAGGGCAGCACCTGGGACTTCTGTAGTGAAGACTGCAAAAGCAAATACTTGCTCTGGTACTTCAAGGTCAGTATTGGCACTGGCAGCTTGTGCTAAGTGCTGTGGTGGGCACGGCACCCAGATAAGTGGGCATTGCGCTGAGGAAGCTCGCACTGCTGGAGTCTGGCTGGCACTGCTGCGGAGAACCTGGCACTGCTGGAGTCCTGCCTGGCAATGACGGGACACTGCTACGGGGAAGCTCACGTAGCTGGAGTCCCCAGCTGATCCTGCCAGAGCACTGCACTGAGGAAGCTCACAGTGCTGGATCCGCGGCTAGTGCTGCTGTGAGAAGTTCGCACCGCTGGAGACCCCGGCTGGCACTGGCAGGGCACTGCTGTGGGGAAGCTCACAGCACCTTGCCATGTGCACCGTTCACTGGAGAGTTGTGTTGCACTCGGAGGGGGTGTGGTTAGTTACTCCTTGTTTCTCTCCTGCTGATGCGGGCTTTAGGCAGCTCGGTGCCATGCCTGCAAGCGTCAGGGGAAGCTGCTGGAAACCATCCACTGGCGAGGGCAAATCAAACACTTCTGCAACCAGCAGTGTCTGCTGCGATTTTACAACCAACAGAACCAGCCCAACCTGGACACGCAGAAGGGGCCCGAGAGCCTGCTGAACAGTGAGTAGGAGGGAGGGAGGGGACCTGCATAGCTCAGTCTGAGAGACACAGGGAAGACTGAACAGCGAGGGGTGGAAGCTTCCTGCCTGGGACTGGATGAGACGCTAGGGAACAATCCTGCACTGGCCCTTGGGGGGGAAAGGACGGAGTGGGACCTAATGGGGCTTCTCCATCTCTAACGTCTATGGTTCTATGACACACAGGGCCCAGACGGGAGGAGCCGGTGCCAGCGTGCTGCCTGTAGCTCACACTTAGCGAGGATACTCAGGGATTTAACGGGCGACTCCATCCTCATGTTGCCAGCGGAGAGCTCGATTTACAGGGTTAGGGGACAGCGTGGCTTGGCATGATAATCCACCTGCAGCCCCACACCACCTCCGAGCTGTGACCTTCTCAGATCTCATAAACTAATCAGGATTGGGCCAGGTCAGTGCTTGGATGGGAAGCATTCAAGGAAAACGCAGGGTGCTGCAGGAAGTGGTGCTGGTGATGCTGTAGGTGGGCTCTCCTCAGCCAGAGCTGAACCTAGGCCGATCTTGAGGGAGCGCAGAGCCGCTGGAGGCTCTGTCTTGCGCTGTTAGATTGGAGTCCTACCACTTACCCAAAGATCGCTGCAGCTTGGGGGAGTTGCCAACCCCGTGTCCCGGATAACCCCATTCTGCATCTGTGGAGTTCCCGCTGGAGAGGAGATTCTCACTGCCTGTTGCCCCATTTCCTATCATTAACTTGAGCCAGTTGCTTCTGGAAGATTGCAAAGTGCTTTGGGGTCCCTCAGGACGGAAGGTGCTCGTAGTGAGAGTGACAAGACATCGCGTGGCCCTCGGACACTCGCATAGTCTCACTTTGCTCGGTCTGTGGTAGGCCATGATCTTCTAGGTGATCTGATGTAGGTAACAAAATGCCAGCAGCTTGTGGTGTGACTTCCTTCAGCGCATCAAGCTTCGACAGATGCCTCTATCGCAGGCTTCGCTGCCCCCTGGAATTTCGTGAGGTGTAAAACCCTGAGTAGGGTGCGCTGAGGAGGGGAAACCAAGAGGAAGACCTTCCGTGAGAGACCTCATCCTCCGTCCCCAGGCTCTTCCTGGTGCCTCTCTCCTCACAGCAGTGAGCTAATCGCGAGATGGGGAAACCCTGGATGCCATCACTGCTTGGAGAGCACAGCAGAGCTGTTCTGCCAGAAGCAGGAGGTTCCCCCAGGCAGGGGAGTCCTGACCTGCCCTCCAAGAGCCATGCTCTGTAAAATGCCGTGTGAGGTGACAGCTCAAGTGACAGCACGTTGGGGTGACCTGGATGAAAATCTGCCAGTTTCAGCTGGCATTGGGGTGTCCAGAGAGAGACTGCTTGATGGGACACAGAGTGTCCTGCTGCCCCAGTGGAGGAAGAGGCATTGAGCTTGCCAGCCCCTGTAGCTCACCGAGTGATTTTACAACCCTAGCTGTGCTGCTTGGTTTGTGCTCTGCTTTCAAGGCATCCTACCTGTGAGGCACCAGTAACACTGCTCTGGGGACACAGGCACAGCAAACAAGCCACTGCCTGCCAAGGGAAGCATCTACTTCACACCATTTGGCCCTTACCTCTTGGAGACACGGACCATGAGACTCTCTTGAGTACCTTCTCCAACACCACCGGGAACTTTGCTGTTAAGCGTGCGGGGCATTGCCCTTCACTGTGTCACAGCTCGCTGTGTTCACTGTGCCAGCTGCGGGACAGCTGTAGACAGCCTTGCCCAGGGACTGTGCCATCCTGGCCAGCTTGCAGTGGAAGGATGCTGGAGCCAGAGCTGCTGTGTGCTTACACAGAGCTTTCCAGCCCCGTGTGCTGTGCAGGGTGTTGCAGGAGGAGCAGCTTGCCTCCACTGGTGAGGAACTGCTTCTGCCTGCTCCAGTCAGGGTCTTCTGTGCATCTGGCAGTGGTGTCATAAGCTTCTGAGGGACTACCTGGATTTTAGGCCCAGCTGGGGCTGGGCTGCTGACTACTTGCTTGTTTTGTAGCCAGTGTTGCCTAAAAGCATTCATTCCTGCGATCCAGTGGCTGCTGCCAGCCTGGTGATCCTGAGGGTGCTTGCTGACCATGAAAGTGACCGTTCCTTTGCTGGGAACACAGTCTGTGTAAGAAGTGATTGAGGAGCTCCTGCCACAGAACCGTGCCCAAAGAATTCAAAGGGAACGGGCTCTGTATAGGGCTATCCATCTGGAGAGGAGAGGGCCAGTCGCCTTGGTTGGTGCAGTTGAGACCTTGACAGTTCCTTGCTGGTGTTAGGATGAGAGTAAAGAACAAGCTGCAGCTTTCTTGAGAGCCTGGACATGTAGCGTGTAGAGCTTTGTGGTGTGAGGATCTTGTTTCCTGCTGTCCTAAATCCTTGGCCTGTGAGACAATGACCTTTGCTTTTATTCTGCTTCAGCAGACTCTGCTCGTACCCTTCTCCATAGCTTCTTTCCCCATCCGTGTCTCCTGCTGCCCGTCCACTTCGGACTGGTCACGGGAAGCTCTTGGACCCACTGAGCCGTGGCAGGTGTGTGGCTGAACGTCCAGCTGGAGGCTAGGGAGTTTGCTTGGGCTGGAACTTGCCTGTCCCCTCGGTGGCAGTCACCAAATGGCTTTTGCTGTGCCTCTGTTTGCTGAAGAGCAAAGTTCTTGGGATTTCCTCACGATGCAGGAAATTGCATGGTATGAATGCCAGTGTGCTGATCCTTTGGGAGTCTGGGTTTTTCCCGGAGAGCCTATCTGTAGGAGGAGCAAATGGACCTGCCACTCCGTTTGGGTGCTGATGCCTGCTGCTTTCCTTGTGGGCATCTCCTTTGTGCATGGCCCACGGTTAGTCAGTGCTGCAGAAGGAATTCTTTTTCCCAGCCACATGGGTAGCCAGGGTTCACAGGAGACTTGGATGAAGGTGCTTGTAGCTCGGCAGCCTCTGAGATGGGTGCTCTGCAAAGCGAGTGGGACAGAATTATCATCCGAGGCAGGATGATACGGTTACCATCTGAGACTGGTGTCTGCCACGTGTGCCTCTTACCTGCTGGTGATCCGCTCTCTCCTGCATCCCTAGCGCTGGGCAAAGCTGTCTCTGTACTTTCTGGGATACCTTACAGCAAGCTATTACCTCTGTCACCTTCTTCCTAGGGATCTCGAAGCACTTTGCCAAGATATTTGTAGCAGGGAGATGGAGGCACAGGGAGGGGCCATGGCTCGGTACAGCAAGCCAGTAGGCAGAGCTGGGAATGGAGCCCTGGATTCCTCTCTCCACAAGGGGCTGGGATTTCTCCTGACCTGCTGTGATGGGAATGGGGTGGACTGCAAGGGAACTCAAAATGACATGGCAATGACTTGATTTTGGAGTTGTAGTGCCTTCGGAGGTGCTAGGGCTAGAGATTTTTGGAATGACTGTTCCTGGAGCGGCCAGGAGCAGTTTCTGGGGAGCCCGTCACTGCCCTCTGGCCTGTGGCTGTTGCCACCTCCAGTCCCAGCAGTGGGACCTGTTAGCTGAGGAGCTCTTAAACTAAGAGGCTTTGCTTTTTCTTGCAGGTCAGTCTTCAGAACCAAAACCACCTGCCTCTTCCCCACAGAAGGCAGAGACTAACACGGTAAGGCCCGCTGGAGGTAGGAATTTGCAAGGTAGCATAAAGTGTTTGTCCCCAAAGAGAACAGATCTGCCATTGCTTGCGGAGATTTCGTTTTACAGCCAGTGCATTTTAAGACGGTGGTGGCCTGGGCAGTGGGAGCTGATGCAAGCTGCTGGGGAGGGCAACTTCAGCACATCTCCTGCACGGGGGATAAATAACTTCCCCGACAATGAAACAGACACCAGAGCAGTCTGCCACTGTGGTGCTGGCTCTTTTTTGCATGGTGCTCCCCTGTGCCTGGGCATTATCACTGTCCCTCTGAGTTCCCTGCTGGCTCTTGCAGGGATCTCACACAGGTTTGCTGCCCACCAACATCAGCTTGGCAGCCCTTTGGCCAAATGTGGCCGTGGGAGCATGTGTACGTGTGCTGCGGGCTGCCAGGCTGCAGGAGGCTGTACCTGAGGTTGAGGAGAGGTGGTGCTGCTTTTGCTGGACACCAACCTCCTGCTTTCTGCGTTTCCTAGTTGTCAGCAAAGACCTCCTCAGCACAGATGTCTCCAGCCGCGCCGCCTCCCCCGCCCCCTCCAGTTCCAGCCACCCCTCGGAAGAACAAAGCTGCCATGTGTAAACCACTGATGCAGAACCGGGGTGTTTCCTGCAAGATAGAAATGAAGTCCAAAGGATGTCAGACAGGTAGGAAAGTAAGACATGACTCCAGGACTGAAGGGGCGTTTTGGAAAGGCAGGTAGCATGTCCCTGCTCCAGACGGAGTGTGAATCCAGCTTGAAATGCTCTTACAGAGCTGCTGGGTGTTCAGCATTACGCTGAGGAGAGTTAGGGATGTATGGGGAACGCATGGAAAGGCTGGAGGTAGGGCACCCATTTCCAACAGCAGCAGGAGGAAAACAGCAGAGAGTGCTGCAGCATGACCCCACCTCTCTTATGGTATTTGGGACAACTTGTTTCCCTCTAGAGATCATCAGCTTGCTTGAGGGGCTGTCTGCTGAACAGGTTGCACTGTGGAGCTGCTGTTGGGCACGTGTGTGCGTGCGGTCTCTAGCACGTACAAAGCAACTAGACCTCTTGGCAGGGCCACATAAGAGCAGGGCTTGCACCTTTGGCTAAGGCAAGCCCCGCGGGTTGCAGGGCTGCCTGGCTTGCTGCTGCTCCAGCTCTGCCCGTAAGTCACAGGCGCTGGTGGCTGGAAAGGCTGTGGTGCTGGATGGCTGCGTGGGCATGGCAGTGCAGAGCTCGGCTGGGTGGAGGAGCTGCTGGGAGCGAGCTCACTGACATACTTTTGCTCTTGTCAGAGGCTGACTGGAAGCCCCAGGTGATTGTGTTGCCAATCCCAGTCCCGATCTTCGTGCCTGTGCCTATGCATATGTACTGCCAGAAAGTACCTGTGCCTTTCTCCATGCCTGTCCCGGTAAGCGACACACTTCACCTGCTTGTGTTCTCTTACTGTCTCGGTCCTGCCTCGCTGCAGCCTTCCTGCTTCTCTGTCTGTCCTCTACTCCTGCCTCTGCTTTTACAGCAGTTGGCCGAGCCAGAGCTCCCTGCGGGCGCAGCATGTGTCTGATCTTTGCCTGCTGTGCTGCTGTCAACAGGTGCCTGTGCCAATGTTCCTGCCCACCACACTGGAGAGCACAGATAAGATTGTGGAGACCATTGAGGAGCTGAAGGTGAAGATCCCCTCCAATCCTCTGGAGGCTGACATCCTGGCCATGGCAGAGATGATTGCGGAGGCTGAGGAGCTGGACAAGGCCTCCTCAGACCTGTGCGGTAGGTTCTGCCGTGCCTTGAGCTGGCCCAACAGCTGCTGTCGCGTGGGGTTTGCCTGCTTTGGGAGCCAGAGCATCTGCCCAGATTGCAGCTCTCCCAAAGCCTTTGAGAAGGAGAAGAGCAGAGCAAGCCCTCAACTACTGCTGAGGAAATACTAGGAGCTGGGAGCAGTGCTAGCCACTGACCCTTGTGGGGGTGCCAGGCTCTTGGCTGTTCAGGCTCTTAGCTAAAGCAGCTGCCCGGCCAGACCAGCAGTCCTGACCTCACAGATGTTTTTAGCTGGGGACTGCATTCCTTAAGCTCCAGTGACTAGAGCCATGGCTAGGGCTCTAGGGAGAGGACAGAGGTGCAATTTCTTGCAGTTTCAGCCATTGTGGGGCTGTTCTGAGCCCAGGACTGTGCCCCGGGGAGCCTGACTTCGTTTTCCAGCTGTCACAGGGAAAACAGACCAAAGACTTTTTTTTGAAAATTGTGTTTCTGATCTGCTTTTGCATTGCAGACCTGGTGAGTAACCAGAGTGCAGAGGGTCTCCTGGAGGACTGCGATCTGTTCGGACCAGCGCGGGACGACGTGTTGGCTATGGCTGTCAAGATGGCAAACGTCCTCGATGAGCCAGGCCAGGACCTGGAGGCTGACTTCCCTAAGAGTAAGAGCTAGGTGAAGCAGGCACACGGGGCTGCTCGTGCTGCAGCAGGGTCCTCCTGCTGCCCTCAGCCCACCTTTGCCAACAGCGTTAAGACCTGTGTGAACTTACCTCCCCATGCCCTCTGACTGACCCCACTTGAGGCCAGGAACTGAGGGTCTTGCAGATGACTGCCCACAGCGGGGGTGAGACCACCACTTTTGAACAAGTCTCTGTTTTCTGACTAACTGACCTGCTGCAGACATAGAGAAGGGGGAATGAGAAGCTGATTTTAACAGCACAAAGAGCATGGCAAAGGGGCTGGTATGTTTACGGATAATGATTCCAGAGGATCCAGAAAGGCCTGAAAGACCTGGACAGGGCACGATGTCTTGGGAGATGGCAGAGTTGCTGAGTGTGTCTGTCGAAGGGCAGGAGGTGGGAAGGAGGAGCAGGGACATACATGGCAGTTCGGAGGCAGTTTACTAGCGGCAGAGGACAGAGAACCGGGGTGCTGTGCCAGGCTGTCACCAGGGCTGGCCTGGTGTGAGGGGATGAGGAATGTTCCTGAAGTGTAAAAAAAAACAAAAACTGTCAGAAGGGGGAATTTTGGGTTCTGGTTAATCTGAGAAAGCTTGCGGCTCTGGCAGGTAAAGCTGTTTCCTTTGCTGGGCTGGGGCTAAATGTTCGTGCCAAGCAGGGGTGGGGGTGTGAATTGTTGGGCTACGTGTTGCCTTTACCTCTGGCTAAGAACCAGGCCAGAACAGTCATCTGGCTGAGACGTCTGCCTGCCTCTTACCTCTGCTGGGGACAGGATGAGGTGTCTCAGCTGAGCTTTTCCACCTCTGTTTCCTTTCAGACCCTCTGGACATCAACCCCAGTGTGGATTTCCTCTTTGACTGTGGGCTGGTGGGGCCAGATGATGTGTCCACAGAGCAAGAGCTGCCTCGTGCTGTCCGAAAGGTGAGCTCTTAGTGGGTGCTGCCTGCTCAAAGCCGCGTGGATTTGGAGTGGGAGCTGCCCTCTGGGACATACTCGGAGGTGAGGTGTGCTGGGGAGGTTGTACCCTCTCCCTTCAGGGAGATGGAAGTACTTGTATGGGGCCCTGGGTGCGAGCTGGCCTCTTTCCTGCCTGTGATCCTCATAACTGATGGGTCTTGGCTTGGCTGTCAGCAGGAGGATGCCTGCTGGCGTGGGTATAGGCACGGTGGGAGGGAGCTGGCTGTCAGCAGGCCCGAGGAGCGGCTGGGAGCCTTGCCTCTGTCCCAGGTACACGTCTCATCTCATGACACATCTTTCTGCAGGGGCAGAAGCGTCTGGTGCTCTCTGAAAGCTGTTCCCGGGACTCGATGAGCAGTCAGCCCAGCTGCACAGCACTCAACTACTCGTACGGTGTGAATGCCTGGAAGTCCTGGGTGCAAGCCAAGTATGCAGGGGGAGAGACCAGCAAGGGAGAGGAGCTGCGCTTCGGCCGTAAGTGCCCTGGCTCTACGGGGTGGAGTGGCAGAAACCTTGCAGCAGCTGGGCGTTGAGGTGCTCCTGACCTCGCAGGCTATTGTCTGAGGCTGCCGTGCTTGTTTCCACAGCCAAGCCCATGAGGATCAAGGAGGACATCCTGGCCTGCACAGCAGCTGAGCTCAACTACGGCCTGGCTCAGTTTGTCAAGGAGATAACACGGCCCAATGGGGAGCGCTACGAACCGGACAGCATCTATTACCTCTGCCTAGGCATCCAGCAGGTGAGGGAGGGCTTTTTGTCTTCAAGTCCTTCCCAGCCAGACCTGGGGCTCAGATCTGGTGAGGGGAGCTCATTCCCTTTGTTCTGCCTTCTGGTGACCTAGGACAACCCACCTGGTTCAGTCTTTGAGTGCAGTGGGTAGGGTGACAGCTACGCCCTGGCTTTGCACCCTTCCTGCACATCCTTGAGGAAGGCTGGGAGATCTCCCAAACTCTGTCCCTTCTTCAGCACCACGTCTGCTTTGTTGTCGTGTCCTGGGGTTTCCCTCACAACTTTCAGGAGTGGGTGGTCTTGGGATTCTGCTCTGTAGCTCTGGCTGTACAAGGAGGGGCTCTGTGTGCGCACCCTGGGCTCTCTGGGGAGGGTTTGCACTCCAGGTGCTACCGTGTCTCTCCTGACTGTGTGTTCTGTCCTTTCTAGTACCTGCTCGAGAACAATCGTATGGTGAATATATTTACAGACCTCTACTACCTGACCTTCGTGCAAGAGCTCAACAAGTCCCTGAGCGGCTGGCAACCCACGATCTTACCAAACAGTACGTGTCTCCAGATTACCTTGGAGCACCATGCACATACCCTGTTTCTGCTTCTAGCATTGGATCCTGCGGTCAGATTGTGCTCCTCCAGCCTCAGTTCTCTTTCTTGGCGTAGGCAGTGCTGTCCTGCTGTGTTTTGGGGTCTTACTGTCCCACACTGACAGCAGAGCCAGCTGGTTTATGCCTCAGCAGCTTCTGTTTCCCAGAGTGAGGTTGGCTGGCAGCAGAGTATGGCTGCTGTGTTTCCTGGGTCAGTTTGAATTTTTACAATAGTTCACTTCACAGTGATGTCTGAAGCTCTGGCAAAGAGCACACCAAACCCAACAGGTGCAGCGGCCCATGCCTTTCCCTTCCCAGTCCGTGGGCAAGCCCTGCACACTGCCGAGTGCTGGCCATGGCTGCTGTGCTGCTACCTTGGGAGCAGACTGCCACAAAGCTCTGCAGAAGCTTTTCATGATGCTGTGATCTGGGCTCCCTTCCCTGCAGCGCTTTGTCAAGTGCTAGTTCCCAGATGCAGCCTCTCCCTCTGCACGTTGGCTGTTGAGGCAGAGGCCTTTGGCTCCAGACCCGTGTGTCTAGACAGGAACTGGCTTTTCTTTCACCTCACCCAGTGTGGTGGAGCACTGACCTGCAGTCCTCTTTGTGGCCGTCTATAGAGCCGAGCTGTTAGGACTGATTCGGTTCTAGCTTGTGTTTTGCCTGTGCTATGGGACGGCTCGTGGCTGGGCAGAGCCAGCATCTAGATCCACTAACGGCTCTGGAGAATAACCTCGTGGGGCAGTGGGTGTTGTGAAGCGTCAGCACCGAGCCGAGCTTGCCGGCGCAGGGTGAAGGGATTGCTCCAGGCCCACGATCTCCAGATGCGTGGGGCTGGCTCCCAGCCATTGCTGGCAGGCACATTGTTCTAGTTCCCTCCTGAAAGAACACGAGGCCACCGTGGGTGTTGACCTGGTTCTTCCTCTGTGTTGCAGACACGGTTTTCTCACGTGTTGAGGAGGAGCACCTCTGGGAGTGCAAGCAGCTGGGCGTTTACTCACCCTTTGTGCTCCTCAACACCCTCATGTTCTTCAACACCAAGTTCTTCGGGCTGCAGACAGCGGAGGAGCACATGCAGCTCTCCTTCACCAACGTCGTGCGCCAGTCCCGCAAGTGTACCACAGCCCGGGGCATGACAAAGGTAGTGAGCATTCGCTACTATGCTCCTGCCAAGCAGAAGAAAGGCCGAGGTAGGGTCTGACAAAACAAACATCTCTCTGTCCCTCCCTGTCCCCCTGCCCCCCATCATGTTCCAGCCATGATCCTATTCTCTGCCCCTTTGCAGACGGTGGCACTGGAAAGCGGAAGCGTGAGGAGGAGGTACCGGTGCTGGAGCAGCGGGAGAACAGGATGAACCCACTCCGATGCCCAGTCAAATTCTATGAATTTTATCTCTCCAAATGGTGAGTCTTCGGAGAAGAGGCATGAGATGTTTTGGGGGCCACCTCTCAGTTTCAGGGTGACCCTGTGGAGTAGCTGCTGCCTTCGAGGGCTAACCGAGAGGGCAGGCCAGGCTTTCTGAGTGCCTTCTGTTCGTACCCTGGGGCTCACCTTCCTTTCTCTCTGCAGTCCTGAGAGCCTGCGGAACCGCAACGACATCTTCTACCTGCAGCCTGAGCGGTCGTGCATCGCCGAGTCCCCGCTTTGGTACTCGGTCATCCCCATGGACCGGAGCATGCTGGAGAGCATGCTGAACCGCATTCTGGCAGTGAGGGAGATCTACGAGGAGCACAGCCGGCTCGGTGGCCTGGAGGACGATATGGACTAAGCACAAGGTGCTGCTGGGCTGGTTCCGCTCCAGCCCTGGACACCTCATCTCCCTGCCTCCTGCTGCGGGGGCCGTGCAGCGCAGGGTGGGGCCGGGGCTGCAGCAGTGCTGTCCCCTCATCGTTACGGGACTCAGACATCCCATCCTGCTCCTAACAGGCCTGTCCTACCGCGTCCCAGAGCCGTGTGGGCCATCTTCCCCCAGGCCAGGCCCTGCAGCACAGAGGTGGCAAAGCCCCCAGGGCGGTGGCCCCGGCTTGGCTCTGTCCTCCTGTTCCCCAGGGCTGCGGCCCCTTCCCCTGACACTAACCCCTTCTCCCCCTGCCCCGGGGCAGGAACCGCACAATACGGCAGAGTGCTGCCTGGGACCAGCAGCCCCTGAGGCTTTTAATTCCCCTTTCCCTTGGCATCAGCTCTTGGAGGCTGCAGGTGGCGTGGCAGGAACAGCTCTGCTGCAGTGGGACAGGGTTTTCAAGGCAGCAGGGAAGGACCACGGGCGGCACGTGAGCTGCTGGGCAGGGCAAGGGCCGATTTCAAGGGCGGGAGGTGGCTGTGGGGAGCAGATGGAGTCGGTGCTGGAACGCGAGGGCTGAGACCCAGCTGGGCTGCCTCCCTCAATTTTGTCGACGTTTTCTGAGTCAGCAGAAAACTGACTGACACGGGTCTGTGCCAGTGCTGCCCCTCTTCCCCCCCGTCCCCGTGTGAGGTGCCACCAGCAGTGCAAGCCGGCCGGGGTGCTGGCGGCGGTGGCAGGTCCCTCCGCTCCTGCTCTGGGCTCGGGCAGCTGCTGGCAGAAGCCAGGGGCTCTGCCTGGCCTCTCCCCTCCCTCCCAAAGCTGCAGGGCCCCCGTGCCCTGCCTGGAGCAGGCTTGGCTCCGGCCGTGCTCTTCCCTGCTGCCTCCTGCCCCTCCTCGTGTTCTGGTTGGTTTTCCTGAGCTGTACATGGGTCTCGGCACTGTTGAGCCTGTATATATTGTTCTGGGCCTTGGCCCGGGGCCCTCTGTCCTCTGTGTCCATGTGGAGAGTGAGCCACTCACCAGTCTTGTTGTAGTGATAACAGGGCGGTAGGACTAACCCTGTGTCTCTGGAAACCATTCATTTCAAATAAAGATGCAGAAACCTGCGGGCAGCCCCTGCTTTCCCCTGGGGGCAGGGTGGGCCCTGCCGTGCAGCCCCTCATGCACCCCCAGCCCCAAGCAGTGCTGTGGGGCTGGGGCCTTCCCTTCTGCAGGCTTGGCCTCTCCCAAAGGTGCTTTAAGGCTCTGCTGGGCACGAAGGCCCTGGGTGGAAGAGCCCGGTGAGTGTCCTGCTGCTGCCACCCATCTCCCTCCTCTCCATCCCACCCCTGCTCTGCTGCCTGTGCTTCCTCCTGCCCCCTCCTCAGCTATGGGGCCACATCCCAGTGTGGTGGTGGTGGTGGTGGTGGCCCTGTCCAACCCTTGTGGCCACTCGGTGCCCCTGGGGGACAGTCAGAGAACAATGCCGCGGTGCCCACGGGCAGAGCACGAGTCAGACGAGTTGCATTGAGTGTTTATTTGCTCCCCAGGGCTGATGGGCAGGGGGGTGGTGTTTGCCCCTGCCCCAGCCTGGTCCTGCTGCTCCTGGGTCATGCCCAGCTCTTGCGTTGGGGTCTGTGCTATGGGGCTTGGCAGGTCCTGGAGATGGAACCACAACCGTGGCCACCACGGCGGCCTGCACATCACCCATCCCGACACCCCGGCTGCCTTCACACCGCCAAGTCCCCCACATGCGCCTTCCCGCGGGACCCTCTGGCCACCCCCAGCCACACGCCAGCCTTCCCCAGGGGTGCCAGGCCACGGTGGGGTCCGCTGGCCTCCGCGAGGCTGCCACCACCAGGCAAGGTGACACGGGCGCTGCGGGGCTCTGTAGGGCCACTGGGGACGGGCAGGACTTGGGACCTGGGGCGTGGCCTCTGCCGGCACTTGGTGAAGCCCAGGTGGTAGATCTCCACCAGGTTCAGCAGCAGGGACACGCAGGCCACCCCCAGCATGAAGAGGATGAAGATGGTCTTCTCGGTGGGCCGGGAGATGTAGCAGTTGACAGTGTTGGGGCAGGGCCAGCGGCTGCAGGTGTAGAGGGGCTTCAGCTCCAACCCGTACAAGGCGTACTGACCCGCGATGAAGCCCATCTCAAAGAGAGCCTTGAAGACAACGTTGCAGACGTACGTCCTCAGGATGGCCCCCCGCATCTGGACCCGGCCCCGCACGTCCCCCCTGTGGAGCGGGGGCTGCCCGGGGCGCTGCCGCCTGGCCCCGCTGCCAGCCCGTGCCACCGCTCGCTGCTGCGCCTTCTCCTCCAGGTGCACCAGGTGCAGGATGTGTCCCAGGTACACGAGGCTGGGGGTGGAGACGAAGATGATCTGCAGGACCCAGAAGCGGAGGTGGGAGAGGGGGAAGGTGCTGTCGTAGCAGGCGTTCTGGCAGCCGGGCTGCTGCGTGTCGCAGGAGAAGCCGGCCAGCTCGTCGCCCCAGACCCGTTCGGCGGCCGCCCCCAGCACCAGGATGCGGAAGACGAAGAGGACGGTGAGCCACACCTTCCCCACCACCGTGGAGTGCTCCTGGGCACTCTCCAGCAGCCTCCCCAGCAGGCTCCAGTCCCCCATGGTGAGCGGCGCTGCGCCCTGCAAGACAGCCGCCCTCCAGACACACGGACACCTCCCGGACACCACCCTGCCCCCGGGCGGGCATGCGGGGCCCTGAGCTGGGGCTGTCCCCACCTCGCGTCCCACGGGACACCCTGACCTGGCTGGGGAGGGCAATGGGAGCAAAGGCTTCCATCAGAAAGCAACCCCCAGCGAGGTGGCCATGGCCACCACAGGGCACGGCGCGGGGACCCCTCACCGTTGCGGGTGCGCGGGGCACAGCCCGGTGCTCCCACGCCGTCGGCTCCTGCGCAGGGGTGCAGGGTGCTGCCAGGCCCCTTCCCAGAGCGCAGCGGGGTGCAGACAGATCCACACGGCTCCGTCTGTCCGTCTGTCCACCCGACAGCGGGCACAGGGTTATCGGGGCGTGATGCAGCTGCGGGCCCCATTGGCTTTCTTTGTGACTGGCAGATGAAGCAGCCACTGGGGGAAATTTTTCCCCTCTATTTTTGGTCCGGGTACCTTTCTAAATATACTTGGGGCTGCAGGGGCTAGTGCTCAATGCCACCAGAGGGTCACTGCTCCCGCACGCGTGCTGCCAGGGCTCCATGCAGGGACCACAGGGCCCCACACCACAGCATCCCCCACCCACCTATGGGGCCGGCCGGCCCCGTGCATGGGGAAGCATCCCCGGAGGTGGGTGGCAGGAGCCTGGCTGCACCCAGACCCTGTCCTCTCCTCTCTGCCTGGCCGGGCAGGGGCGGGCACCCCACGCTGGCACCGTGGCCCCCGGCACATCCCAGCCGGAGCAGAAAGCAGGGAGGCAGCGCCTGAGAACGGAGATTTAATGGCCCGAGCGCGCAGCAGCGGCTGTGCCCTCCTCGCCGCCCAGGAGGACAGGCACTGGGGGGTGCCGAACTCAGGATGGGGGCGGCGTGGGGTCCCCCCGGGGCTGCAGGGAGGCTGCGGGGCAGGGCCGAGGGCTGCAGCCCCTGCGGCGTGGGCCTTAGCAGGCGGAGCAGCGGTCGCCCTTCTCCTGCAGCCCGGGGTTGCGGCGCAGCATGTCCTTGAGGGAGCCGTCCTGCTCCGTCAGCAGCTGGTTGATCTCGTTCTGCTTGTACTCGGAGAGCTTGTGGCCGTAGAAGGAGCCCTTCCCCGACGAGGGGTTGGAGTTGTGGCGGCTGCGGCGGGCGCAGGCCCGCACCACCAGGTAGACCAGCTCGGCCATGTTGAGCACGATGCAGATGCTGGAGGTGACCAGCATGAAGACGGTGAAGATGGTCTTCTCGGTGGGCCGCGAGATGAAGCAGTCGACGGTGTTGGGGCAGGGGTAGGCCTCGCACTTGACCAGCCGCACCATCTGGTAGCCCGGGTAGATCATGTAGAAGATGTACATGAAGACCGCCTCGAAGAGCAGCCTGAAGACCACGCTGCACATGTACGTCCACCACAGCGAGCCCGCGATGCGGATCTTGTGCTTCTTCACCTCCTCCAGGTGCTTGGCGTCCCCGTGGCCCGTCATCATCAGCAGCTTCTTCTCCTGGTGCTGCTGGTAGGCCACGTGCATGGCCACCAGCAGGGCCGGCGTGGTGACGAGGATGAGCTGCAGGGCCCACAGGCGGATGTGCGAGATGGGGAAGAAGTGGTCGTAGCAGACGCTGTTGCAGCCCGGCTGCTGCGTGTTGCAGGTGAAGGCGGACTTCTCGTCCCCCCAGACGCTCTCGGCCGCCACCACCAGCACCATTATCCTGAAGATGAAGATGACGGAGAGCCAGATGCGCCCGATGGCCGTGGAGTGGCGGTTCACCCCGCTCAGCACCGCGTAGAGGCCGGCCCAGTTCATCGTTCCTCACGCCTGCGGGAGCGAGAAGCGGCGTTAGGAGGGGGAAGGGGCCGAGAGGGACAGCAGGACGGCAGCTCGGGGCAGCGTTTTGCCTGCAGCAGGCAGGAGATCAGCCTCGTGGCTCTGCCGTCCCCGTGCCACCAGCCCCGCCTGGGGTGGCAGCGGGCAGAGCCAGGCAGAGCGGGGCTGGGACGAGGGAGCAGGCAGAAGGCGCTGCGTGCTGCCGGGACAGCAAATTGCCCCGGCTGCCCCGTGTCTGCATGGGGGAGGGCTGCCCCGCCACTCCAGTCATGGCTGGGGGGCAAAGGGCTCCCAGCTGGCGGCCAAGAGCTGCTGCTGGCTCCGGCTGCGGGGCCTCTCTGCCTACCCCTGCGAGGGCTGGGGACAGAAGAGCCCCTGTCACCTCTGCCACGGAGCAGACCAGGGGCCTGCTCCTGCCCTGCCACCCCATGCTGGCTCCAGGATCCCCACCTCCAGCTGCAGCAGAGGATGGGGGCAATCTCACAGACCCCCACCCACACCCAGCGCTGAGTTCTGCCCCAGCACCTCCCTGCCCTGCGCTGCCACAGCCCTGGGCACGGTGTCCCCATGGGCAGCCACGCGTTGCCTCCCTCCTCCAGCACCATCCCTGCCTGGGGTGACCCCGCACCCCAAATGCTGGCACCAAGCAGCCCCGGGGGCTGCTCCCCACCTGGGCACGAGGCCAGCCCAAGGCTAGGGGCCGGGACCCGCCAGCTGGCCCTGGTGCAAAGGGCCCCACGGTGCCTACCTGCTGGTGAGGAAGGGTCCTCGTGAGCTGCCCCCAAAGTCCCCTCTAAGGTCTCATGTCTCCAGCAGGAGAGCTCTGCTCCGCCTGCCCTCGTCTCTGTCCACCACTGCCCTGCACTGGCAGTCATATGCTGCTTTATAAACTATTTACATACAATGGGGCCTTTATGGGCCCCTGAACAACACACTTTAGCATTCAGATCCAACGCCCTGACTTCCGCCCACCCCAGCCAAACAAAGTGCCTGTGTGCTGCGTTCCCGCTCCCACCTTGCCCCGCGCCGAGCACGGATGTGGACCCACGGCTGCTGGCCGGGGGGGTGCCCACTGCCACGGGCATCGCACGGGCTGGCAGCCACCTGCATGGCCGGGTGCCACCGAGGGGACAGCAAGGACCCTGTGCTGGTGGTGACTGTGGTGGGAGTCCCACCGTGGCCTTGGGGATGGTCACTTCTCTGGATGGCGAGCAGGGAAGAGCCTGAGACACGTGCCAGGACGCAGAGCTGAGCCCATCCACGTGCCTGTCCGCATGGATGGCACCACAGCCTGGGCTGGGGTTGGGGTCTGGCTGCTCCCCAACGCAGCACTGAGCGTCCGTGGGACCCGTGGGGTTGTGTATGGCCCCCGTGGGCAGCCCCAGGTGGGGAGCAGCCACACACAGCGAAAGCTTCCAGCTCAGAGCCCCGTGGCACTGCTGGCATGACCGGGGCAAAGGAGGTGGCAGGCAGCAAAGCCACCCTTCATGGCTCCTATCCCGCAGCGCAGGGTGCGAGCACTCAGACCAGGAGCTGTGCAAATCATGGTGGGCAAAGGCCCTGCTCTGCTCCTCACCCTGCTCCCCCTGTCCCACCCTAAATCTGCTCCTTCCCCCCGTGGTGTGACCCCAACATCTCCGCTGGGGTCCCCAGCTGGGGGCCGTGGAGGCCACCCCAGTGCGGTGCCCACCCGGCTCTCACCTCCACGCGGGGCTCGCTCCCAGAAAGGTTCCTGGCGCTGTGTCCTCCGCACACAGCAAACACCTGGACTTTATACTGACCCGCTGCGCCACCCGCCCCCTCCCAAACAGCTCCGTGCTTTCCAGGACCTGCTCCCTGCTGAGCAAACACCACAGGTGTGTCCAGCTCACTCCCACGAGGCACCCACCCCGCCGCCGCCACCGAGCATCCCCAGAGGGTGTTCCAGGGGCCACCGTGGCACCCTGGGGGAGCTGAAACCCCCCTGTGGGGTCCCCTTGGCTGCACCTTTTGGCTGGGAGCATCCTCCCTGCCATGCATGCGAGCCAGGCACACGCACCGTGATGCCATGATGCTGTGACACCGTGGCACCGTGTCCCCGTCCCGCTCTCCCCACGGGGACACGGCACCCACCCCGCACCATGTGGGGTTGTCGGCTGTTCCTGGGGAGCAGGGGGGGCGGTGAGCAGCCAGGTTAGCAGCGTAAAAGTGCAGCCGGGGCAGGCAAACAGCCTGTCAACCATTAACCGGGCTGGCAGCCCCACTCCAAGGTCCCGACGCCGAGCGCGGAGCGAGGCCACGAGGCGCGCTGGGACGCGGCGACCCCGCGGGGCTGCGGGGCTGGGGGAACGGGGCGCGGGTGCGGGTGCGGGGTGCGGGGTGCGGGGTGCGGGGTGCGGGGGGGTGCTGGGTTGCGGGGGGCTGCCCCGAGCCGCTGCCGCAATCTCGGCCCCCGATAAGCGGCTGAGTCAGCGCGGCTCGGCACGGCGCCGCCGGGGAGGGAGCGGGCAGGGAGGCGGCAGGTGGCGCTGCGGGGCCGGGCCGAGCCGAGCCGGGCCAGGTCCAGGGCCGAACCGGGCCAAACTGGGCCAGGTCCGGGCCAGGGGAACCGCGGGGATGGGAGAGCGGCGGGGCCGGAGGCAAGCGGGTGAGGGGGATGCGCAGGGCGCTCAGCTGCTGCCGGGGAGCCCGGCAAAGACGTTAAAAATATAATGAATGTATTAATTAGCAAAGAAAAAATGAGAATAGATGCAAAGAAATAAAAATTGGGGAAGTAAATTGGGGAGAAGGGGCTCGGGGGCGTTGCTCGTCCCGAGGATGCGGTGGGGGCTCTGCGGCTGCTGCCCTTTGCGCCCAGCCTCTGGCCCCTGCTGCTGTTTGCGGTGCAGAAGCCTCGTGCCAAAGCCTGCGGGCAAGGACAGGCTGTACCTGCGGGGACAGGAGCAGGCGCAGCCAGCACTGCCCCTGCCTCCAGAAAAACGCCCCGTCGGGTGAGTGCCCGGAGCAAAAACGAACTCTTAGCTAATGACGTTAATCACCAGGTGAGCGTGGCGGCGGCTGTGTGAGGCCATGGGCACGGCGAGCTGACGAGACGGGCTGGGGTGAGCCAACATCCGTGGGGCTGGACGGGGTGACGCAGCGCTGCCGGCAGCCCTGGCACCCCGCTGGGGTCAGAGGTCTCCGAGCCCAGCAGTCCACGCCGAAACGGTGATGCACGAAGCCTCTGACACAACGTCGGGTACCAGGAGGAGAAGGGTGGCTCCAGAGCCACCTTTGCCCGGGCTGATGGCGACACAGGCGTCCCCAGATGCCACCCCCTAAGAGACAAACCCCCTTGTCTGCGTCAGCCCTGCTGGGAAGGGCCGGGGCAGCGGGCGAGCACAGAAATGTTTTGTGCTGCCAGAGCGGGGTCAGGGGGGAGCGCGGCGCTCTCAGGCAGGTTGTGTGCCCTCACAAAGCCACGGCTCATCCTGTGCCCTGCTGCATCAGGGCTGTGGGAACCAGGACCAGGAGCAGGGCAGGGCACTGTCCTAGGGATGCTGCTGTGCACAGCCCTGTGCTCCTGCTGGCTGTGGCTACCGGAGCAGGCAGGGACCAGACACAGGTCACTCGTATCACTCGTACCTTCCCCGTGCCAGGCTGTCCTTGCAGGTCATTTCCCTTTTGCTTTTTGCCGGCAGCCCTAAACGTGTCCCCTGGAGCTGAGGATGTCCCTCATCGCCACACAGATGTTAACCGCAAATACCCCCGGGGACACGGTGTCCCCTGGGCTTTGCCAGGTCTCCAAAGAAACGCTGCTGATGGTCAAGGACACCCGGAGCAGATGGCAGGCTTGGGAGTTCTGCGAAGGCAGTAGCTTAATAGCAGCGTGTCCCCTGTCACCAGCCAGCACGTGGGGTCCTGGCTGGGGGGGCAGGCAGGGACAGCGGGCAGTGGGGCTGTGCGAGGATGGGGCGCAGAAGGGCAGGGCAGAAACCATCTCCCCTTCAGGGAGGGGACTGCAGGGTGGGCAGCTGGCAGCGGTGCTGGTGTCACCGGGATGGGGGCCACCAGCCCCCGGGCAGGGCTGGCCCCGCTGCTCGAATTGTGGCGAGCGGGCTGCGGCTGGAGCTGTGCTGCAGAGCACTGCCATTTCCATGGCAACCCATCCCCCGTGGACCGATGTGGGTTTCCATCCCGCTGCGGGTTCCCATCCCCGTTCCTCTTGCAGCTGGATCCCTGGGCAGTGCGAGGGAGTGCCCTGGGTGTGTCCGACCGGAGGGGATGCTCTTGGGGCAGTGCTGGGTGGGACAGTGGGGTCAGAGTTTGGGCTGCAGGCTGGGCAGCCAACCCCATCCCTGACCCTGAGCCTGTGGGAACACCGCTGCTTCCAGCGAGCGATAGTCCTGGGGGAGGCACAGCCCCGGGCCCCTTTGGGTGCCCCTGCATCACGCAGCGGGGCCCGGCACGCTGCCTGCGTTCCCACCTCCATCCTCCCCTTGGCGAAGGGTCTGCCGCCCCCATCCCATGCTCCCTGCCTTGTGCCGGATTTCGGGACGAGGCCACCCCCAAGTGAGGCACAGCACCCCGCACAGCACCCAGGAAGCACCCGCCTATCCCCAGCCCCCCCCCCCGGCCCCAGCCCTCGGCCCTGGCTCCGCTGCGTGCGCGCTGCCTGGAGGCGATTCAGGCCCCATGCCTGGTTTCCATGGCAACCCCAGCTGAAATTACATTAAAAAGAAATGAAACCAGCAGCTTTTCTGGTTGGCAAGCAGGGGGAGGGGAGGGGAGCGGGGCTGGGCAGGGCAGGGGGCTCAGAGGGAGGGGACCCGCGGTGCCAATGGGGTGGATGAGGTCCTGTGCAGGACCCCGGTGCTGTGGGGACACAGCAGGGCTGGGACTTGCAGGGCCCCCCAACCATGTCCCCAAACGCTGGTAATCCTGGGGACAGGGTGCACGCACCCAGCCTGGGGTGAGTGCTGGGATCCTGGGGACCTCCTGGCTGGGGTGGCCCCGTGCTGCACCCCTCAACCCCTCCTGGGCTGCACCCAGCCTCTGCCCCTGGCACGCTCCAAGGAGAGGCGAGACACACCGCTATTAAAAATATCACTTCTGTTTTATTTGGAATTTGTTACTCTGCGCGGGTGACAGGGTATAAATACATTCTCCAACGAGCATCCTCACCCCCCAGCCGGGGCGGGCTGCGGGGCCACGCGGGGCCAGGCGGCACCGGTGCGTCACGGCCGCCAGCACGGGCAGCGTCTGCCAGCCGGACCGGCTCGCGCAGGGCGAGGGATGGCGGCCCCACAAGGACACAGGAGATGTCCCCAGCTGCCAGACCCGTCCCCCTCCTCCTGCTTCCCCACACCCAAGGTGCCAGGGACCGTGCTGGCGGCTGACACACTCCCTGCCCTCACTGGGATGCCCCGGGTGGGCTCCCGGGCAGCTCCTTCTCCGTGCCCAGCTGCTCCGGAGCCCCCACCAGCCCTGCGGGTGCCCCAGCCCCGGGATGGGTGCCCTGTCCCCACGCAGGCTGCGTCACCCCCCGGGGCCCCGCTGCGAGCACATCCAGGTGCCGGGAGGCAGAAAGCACCCTCGGTGCAGCCAGCTCGCCCTCCGAGCTGCCGGCCCGCTGCAATCCACAGCTGGGGCAGGAATTGCAGCACGGCCCCGGCAGCGGGCACGAGGGGGTGGCAGGGTGGGAATCAGACGGGGAGCAGGGCAGGGAGGCCGTGGGGAGCACCGGGTGCTGCCCTGGGTGGCCGCGCTTCAGCTGTGGGCGTCCCTGGTGGGTGACACCCAGGAGAGGCTGGGGGTGGCACTGGACAGTGCTGGCAGCAGGGTGGGATGGGTCAAAGGGGGCCGTGGGGTGCTCGCGGCCAGGCCCTGGAGTAGGCTATTTGGCTGAGATCCGTGGGCACGGGTGACAGAAGAGGGAGAATATCAAAAATACAAAAGAGCGCGGCCTCGCGGCGCGGGAGGCAGGGCCCTGCCTGGCGCCCGCCGGCCCCGTGCGGGCAGTGGGGCCGCGGGGCCGCGTTGGGGCCGGCACCGTGCACACACGCTGGGGTTCTTCTAACTGGCTTTTTATTTTATATCAAGAACACTTGGTTTAAAATCTTTACAAAGGACAAAACGCGGAGACTCCGTTAGTGTGTAAAGAACTAAAGATCTGCTTAAAAAACGTCTCTGCAAAGAGAAACGACTGACACAAAAGAGGTTCTCTGCAGCGCAAAGAGGGGCAGAGGTGCCAAGTCCCCAGCTCGGGGCCAGCTCCCCGGCTCCCAGCGCCCCGGCACCGGCCCCAGCGCCCGCACCCAGCGCGAGGCCAGGCCCCGGGCCCCTGCCCGCTGCCTCTGCCTATAGCACCATGGCCCGGGGCCGCCGCTCGGAGCCTTATCCACAGCGCTCCAGATGCCAAACCTCCCGGGGAGCCCCGGCACCGGCCGAGGGGGATGCCCGGCACCACTGCGCACCCATCCCGGGGTGCTCGGCGGGCGCTGGGGACGCCGTGTCCCCGCGGGGAGGCACAGCCCCGGCACAAGGAGCCCTGTGGCTGCTGTCGGCTGGACCGGAGGGGCCCTCCTGCCGGGAGCCGGGAGAGTCGAAGCACTTCTCAAGAGTTAGAAAGGAACGAAAGAAAGCGCCGAGGGGAGCGGGACGGCCAGCGGCGTTGGGTCCCACAGGTCCGGGCTCGGTGCCGCACCGTCCGTGTGCGCTGCCCAGTCCATCCGGGGCGCCCGCCGGTCCCTCTGCCAGTGTCTGCTGCGTGCGTGTGCGTGCGTGCGTGCGTGGGTGTGCGCCGGCCGCGGGCGGCTATACCCTGGTGGTGGAGTGTGAGTGCGGGAGCCCCGTGCTGTTGAAGCCGGCGGCGAAGGTGTTGTAGGGGTGCAGGGTCTGCAGCCCCACCAGCGAGTTGGGGATCATGGTGATGGTGTTGGGGGTCATGAGCGGGATGTCGTCCGGGGACCGGCGCAGCGTCAGCGTGTAGTCGGGCAGGGCAGCGAGGCGCAGGGCGTCGTGGGGCGGCACGGCCTCGCACTCGTGGTGCGCCTGGCTCGCCTGCAGCGACGGCATCTCCTCGTCGGGCGCGTGGGCGATGTCGTTGGCGGCGCCGCGCTGGGGACTGGGCTGCCGGTGCGTGTCCTGCCGCCGCTTGTCCTTGCGGTAGTAGAGGGCGGCGAAGGCCAGCACGTTGAGGAAGAGGAGGGAGGCGCCCACGGCGATGGTGACGCTCAGCTCGGTGGAGTAGTCGCGGGGGCTCTCGAGCAGGGTGCCCGCCTCCTGCTCCGGGCTCCACTTCTCCTTCCCGTTCTCGCTGTTGTAGGCGGGTGAGATGGCGGGGCGCTTGGTGGTCCAGATCTTGCCGTTGGGCCGGCGGGTGATGTGGGAGTTCTGCGTGGTGTCGGGTGGCGGCACTTTGGTGGTGGTGGAGGTGTAGTGGAACATGTCGTGCAGGTTGTACAGGTGGGGGACCAGGTGCTTCCAGAAAGCCACCTTGGTGGCCCGGTAGTGGTCGCGCACCCGCGGCTTCAGCCCGATGTGCAGGTACAGCTGGTCGCGGGGGTTGTACTTGGACCAGGCCACTTCTTCAAAGCGGTTGGCCTTGGTGTGGATGAACTTGGTGTCCTGGGGGACGGGCTTGTTGGGGTCCCTGCAAGACACAGGCAAAACAGAGCTAGAGCCAGGGAGAGCCAAAGTGTTCAGGAGGGAGAGCTGGATAAACCTCTGGATAAACAGAGGAGGGCACAGATGGGAACCACCCCAAACCCTGAGTCAAGCCTGACCTGTGATAACTGCAGCCAAAGTGGCTCCCACACCCCTGTGCTTGGCTGTGGCCCGAGCCTGTCCTCAGCTGGCCACAGCCCGTGTCATGCTGCGAGAAGCCCTGCCCTGGGTGTGAGCACAGGGAGCCAGGTCCTTGGGGCTGGCCATGCTCTCAGCTTCTCGTTGTGTGGCTGATGACCCCAGTTAGGGCACAGCACATAGACCCACACCAGGCATCCTATCCCACCCTCCCCTCACCCCAAATGCAGCCCCGCAGCGAGGCACCGCCCCCCAGGCCCTGCTCACCCCGTCTTGGCAAAGTTGGTCCAGTAGGTCATCACCACAGCACTGAGCATGACGTCGTTCTTGGAGAAGTTGCAGGGAAAGAGGTCTGTGGGGCCGATCATGGGGATCCCGAACACGTAAGGCACCTCATCCCCGTGGGCCGCGTCGGACCACGCGGGCTTCATCAGGCTCTGGCAGTGGTGGTAGAAGGCGTAGAAGTAGGTGGGGGAGCCGTAGCGGGCGTGCAGGTCGGCCGTCACCACCGACGGCTCTACCCACTGGTGGTCGGTGAAGAGGGCCACCAAGGTCTTGCGGCGTGTCTCGGGGTTGTCCCGGTCGGCCCAGTCCGTGTACATGAACTTGATGGTCTCCCGCAAGGTGTCCTTGCCCTCGGGGTAGCCGTACAGGTTGTCTACAAAGTTGGAGACCGAGTAGTCAAAGTCGCTGCCCGACACGCCGTCCTCGGGGTCCACCACGCCCTCCACGAACTTCAGCCCCTCGCCCTGGTTGACACCCAGCATGATATCGTAATTGAGGAACTCGCCCTGCTCCATCAGGATCTCTGGGTCGTCTGGGATCACGTCACCGTCGATGACCGGTCCAAAGGCCACGTGGTAGCGTGCCGGCTGGATGTCTTGCTCCACCAGCTCCTTGGCACTCTTCTGCCGCAGGCAGTCCACCATGTCCACCGTGTCCAGCACGTTGCAGCCCACCTTGTCGGCCAGCATGCTGGTGTACTTCACGGGCTGGTAGTTCACTGCCCAGCTGGAGAGCGCGGAGCCGCTCTGGATGATGGCTCTCTGGAAGAGACCTGCAAGAGAAGCGAGGAGCGGAGGAAGCTTGCAGCGGGGAGAGCTCGGAGTTGCCCCAGTACCCCACGGCTACAATGCAGGACGAGGCGTGGAGGAGGCACCGGTGCCCTCAAGCTCCTGAAAGGACCCCAATCTCCCAAGTGTGCACCATATCGCCCCGTGCCGTGCTCCCTGTGGTGCTGGGCTGGCACGGGGCCTCAGCTCATGGGCGCTGCGCTCCCCCAGGATCCCACAGCTGGCATTTCATGGGGAAGGCCTGGCAGCAGCGGGAGGGTTAACGCCTGCTCGGGGACACTTAACCCTGCATGTCCCACCCGCCGCTTTGTCAGGGCCCCCCTCGCCCCCCTCCCCGCCACTTCCTGCCCAGCTGGGGCTGCTCGGTGCCAATCCGGCCCCGCGGGAGCACGCTGCCAGACGCACAAAGAGGGCCTTTCTGCCACCGGGAACACAGAGGGAGTGGACTTTCGCCCTGGAAAGCGGGGCCACAAAGGCCCTGGCCCAGGCGGAGGAATGCGTGGCTGGGCTCCAGCCCCATGTCAATGGCGCTTGTGCTCGGAATACAAAGGGCTGCGAGGAAGCGGAGCCTCCGGGGCGGTGAAAGCGGCCGGGCTCGGGGTGCACCCTGGGGTCTCTGCTCTCCGGCCGGCCCTCTCCCGCGGCCCCGCGCGCTGCTGCGCCTGGCTGGACTCTGGCGTTTGATTGCTGCCAGGGACCGTTTCGTGCACGGTGCAGGGAGCAGCACGGCGGCATCGCTGCACGCAGAGGCCGCCGGGCTGAGCCCACTGATGCACAAAGTGCTGCGAGAGTGGTGGTTGCACACCTGAGCCCGTGCGGCTCTGATGGGAGCGTGCCCCTGCCTGCAGCAGCAGTGTTTGGAGGATCCTGGCTACCAGCCACCGTGCCCGTAGCTCTGTCTGCACGCACTGTCCTTGCTCTGCCAAGTACCTGACGTACAGTCCCACGCGCTGGGACAAAGAGAAGTCACAAGCTCTGTTTGTCACCTCCCGGTGCCCTAGAAAGCAGCGCCCAGCCCACAGGCACAGCGGGCAGAGCACTGCCCGTTCCCCTCCGAGGTGAGCATCCCCTGGCACCCTGGCAGGGCTGGGTGGGAAGAGGAGCAGCCCCCGGCCCCTTGGCGAGGAACCCACCCACCTGCGCGCGCCGGGGCTGGCAGGGGAGCCGCGGGTCTCCCCGGCAGCCAGACACAGCGTGCGCGGCACCAGCCTCCCGTGTCTGCCTCTTGCCGTGCCTGGCAGAGCAGGCACAAATTAGCAGCTTCATTAATAGCTCTTGATCACTACGAGTTTTATTTTGATCCGATAAAAACAAACCCGCCTGGTCTACAGGCTGTGTCTCGGCGTGCCTCCCCTGCCGCGCTGCGGAGCCGGCTGCCGGCCCCAGCCCCGGGGAGATGGGTGCTTTGGAGCAGGTTTAGGTGAGGGCGTCCTGTGTACGTGTGTTCTGACACCATAGCCTAATGGGGCAGCAAGGGACCACTCTTTACCTTCCCTTTACCTTTTACCCACACTTTGCCTTCCTTGTTTCCAAGCTTTCTCTACACTTGGGCTTTAGCATTTTGCTTTGCCCTGCATTACTCCAGGCTGGCAGGGTGCAGGTGATGGTGACGGCAGAGCAAGCAGGCTTGGGGGCAGCCTGGCCCTGAATTCCCCAGATCCTGGAGCAGGACCGGCCCGGCAGGACCAGGCAGCACGGTACGCTTTGCCCCTCTCCATGTTCAGCCTGAAGTTTCTGAAGGTTTTTCTTCACGCAGTGTTCCCAGGCTCCCCAGCAGGGCTGCAGCTCTTCTCAGTATTGTAATTTTTCATATTTGCCTGGGTTTCTGTGGGGCAGATGCAGGGCAGTGCCCACTGCCCCAGCATGGCCTGTGCCCCTTCTCCCCTGCACCACGCACAGGGCTGCGGCACTGCCTGAGCTCAGTGCCTGTGCCCCATGTAACCCCCTGTGACCATGCCCACCGTGCTCCCTGGCAGCCTGGTGCCCTGTGGACCATGCTCAGCTCAGGTTTTCCTCCTGCTGTTTCCTTCAGGAAGTTTAGGCAGAACAGCTCTGCTCTGATTGCTGAAAATCTTTTTTTTTTTTTTTTTTTCCAATTTTCAATGTAAATTTATTCACAGGTGGTTTATATGCATCTGCTCTTATGCCAACACAATCTTGTAGCATAAACAATTCCTTTCTTTATCTAGAGTAAACATTCTGCTGTATTTACACCACGATATCAATCACATCACCTCCACAAGCGCCGTGCCAGTCTCCACACTCCCAGACCTCCTCTCCGCGACGAGGGGGCCTCGCTCCCTCCCCGGGCTCACGCTCGCTTTTGCCCCTGCTCCCGCGTGGATTGCTTGGCAGCTCAGGCAGGGCCAGCACCTACCTTCCGAGTGGTGGGACAGGGTGAGCAGGCTGACGCAGGAGGCGCCGATGCCGGAGCCGAAGACGGTGATCCGCAGGGGATCCCCGCCGAAGAAGGCGATGTTCTCGCTGACCCAGCGCAGCGCCTGGATCTGGTCCAGCAGCCCGTAGTTGCCCTTAGCAGCCTGGTCCCCCGTGCTCAGGAACCCTGCAGCAGGTGAAATGGAGCCCGGTTAGGGACAGGGGAAGCAGGCTGCCCTCCCACCCCTCCCTGAGCCTGGGGGAGCTCTATGGGACCCCATCCCAGTGGGACCAGCAGTGCCGTGGGTGCTGTGGGGACACTGCGGCCCTACACATGTAGGGGAGAGAGGCTGGGAGTGCTGCCTGTGGGGCAATGGGCACGGACACTGCCCTGCCCCGACCACCGCCCGTGCCAACAGCCTGATGCACGCTCGGAGGGAGGCTGGGGAAGCACAGGGAGCGCAGGCAGGCTGAGCGCACGCAGCCAATGCTTCCCGTGGAATAGCGTGGTCCGGAGGAGGCTCTATAAATGTAAGGAGGTGGGCTGGGCAGAGAGGAACTGACTGCAGCTTAAAACACAAAGGCTCTCAGTGAGGAAGATGCTAAGAAATGCTTTCAGCAGCAGAGGTAACACCCAAGATAAGCTATCGATGTTTTATCTGCCTTGACTCAACGCAGGAAGCTCGAGCCATGGCACGGGGGCTGACTGCGGGCAGGTAACACGGTGGCAGGGAGTGGCACGGCGCTGCGCCGGCACCGCGGTGCTGCTGGCACTCGGCAGCTCTTCAGTGGGGATGCCAAAGGCACCATATAAGTTTTATTTCAGGCTGTGTTTTATACCTCTTAAATTAGCGCTACCAATCTTAAAGGCCTGACTTTTCATACTGAGAGGTCTCAAATAGGCTGCTTTTTGCGGAAAAGCCCATTTCCTACCGGCTAAATCCAGGCACGACTGCTGACCTACGGCTGCCTTTCCAAGAGGGTGTGGGCATGGGGGTGTCAGAGGGACGTGGTGCCCAGGTGTGGGACGAGGAGCCCCTGTCCCAGCTGGGGTGCGAGCAGCAGAGCCTGTGGGGTGGCTCGGGTGGGCTCTTCCCCAGCAAACCCCTGGGAGGGCCGAGCACGTCTCCATGCAAATTGTGGGAGGCCACGGTGTGAGCAAAGCCACCCTTACACCGCTCCTGTTCCCTTCCCCAGGGGATGCATCTGGGATTGTGCATTTCCCATGCAGGGCAAAGGGAGCTCTCAGGGCCTGCCCTGGTTCCTGCTGGAGCACGGCGCTGCCTGGCCAGCTCGGACAGCATCCACGGAGCAGTGAGGCAGCTTCTGCAGGGAGGGGGAGAGCTGATCTGTCCCCCGGGGGCAGCCAGGCAGCACCCGCTGGCAGCTCAGCGCTCCGAGCCCTCTCAGGAGGTGATGCTGGGTAAACACATTTATTATTTATTTAACCGCAGACCAATATTTGCTTTCAGCTGAGCCGGGTTGTGTAAATGAGCCTGGGTGGCTGGTGCCAGGAGCCTGACCACGCCGTTGTGGCTGCTGTGGGCTCTGCCACGTGGCACCGTGCTCGGCCGGAGCACAGACCCCGTCCCTCCCCGTCCCCCTGCCCCCCGTCCCACCGTACCCAGCACTCCAACGCGGTAGTTGAGGGTGATGACAATCACGTTCCCGTAGCTGGCCAGGACGCTGCCGTCTATCATGTTCCCCGTGCCCTCCATGTAGGAGCCCCCGTGGATGTACACCATCACCGGCTTGGCCCCGCTGTCCCGGATGTCTGGAAGGAGAGGAGGTTAACCACAGGACCCCGCCAGCAGCCGCGGCACCCTGCCGAGAGGCAGACCATGGAGGAGGAAGGCAATGCCAGCTGCCAGGACTGGGGAGGGGGCTGCAGCAGCCAAACCCAGAACCCAAAGCCTCAGGCAGAGACCTGAGAACCACCCATCACCACCCCAAACCCTCCAGCCCCTCTCCAGGTGGTGGCAGCCCCTGTTCCTGTCCCAGCACTGCTGTCCCCTTGCTGGGAGCTGCCTGGGGTCTCAGCACATGCAGGAGAGGCACGGGCTGGATCCAGCTGCTGTTCCCCAGAGCCAGGCTCTGGCCGCGGGCAGGAGCTGGCACCTCCGTGGTGGCACCGGCAGCGTGGGGTGCCCCCGGAGCTTGTCCCCGTGTCCCTTCTTCAGCTGGCCCCAAGCCCTCGGCTCCGGGAGTGCTGGCAGCTGGCATTGCGGAGGGGCAGGGACGGGGTGTGCAGGACCTGGAGGGCGGGGGGGCACTGGTGGGCGCTCCCACCTCTGTCTCTCCCGTCCCCCCCCACCCCTTCCAATTCCCTGGGAAGGCAGAAACCTGCCGGCTGCCGGGATGCGAGCCCATGGCACCCCAGTGCCCGGACACAGACATGGCGATGAGCAGACAGTGCGTGCGCGTGTGCGTGGCGGGAGGTGAGCGCCGAGGCCGGGCGAGGACAGGTCATGAGGCATGGAGTGAGGATGGGGAATGGGACCCGAGGGACGCGGAGGGAGAGGGCTGGGGGAGCCTAGGGCAGGGAGCAGCCACGCGCTCCCTCTCTTGCCTGCTCTTATCCCGGGGAAAGTCCCTGCTGGTGCTCAGCACCTGGCACATCTCCACCGCGTTGCACCCATCGCAGCAGGTGGTGCCAGCTCCGCACGGTGCCCAGCCCTCCCCCATGCTGGCGAGCCGGTGCTGACGGACTTTGCCCTCCCCTGTGCTCGCCCACACTCAGTGCCTTGCACGGGTGGGCATGGCCTGGCTCCAGACACAGCCCTCACCCCCCTCGGCTGCCCCGACCCCTGCCCCATCCCTGCCTCCCTCGCCCCCCGCACCCCATCGCCACCGGCTGCCCTGCCCGGGGCCGTCCCGGTGCCAGCCCTGCTCTGGCAGGAGAACTCTTGCTGGGGCCGCCTGCGTGAAATCCCAACAGCTGAAACGCCGAGCCCGCGGCTCTGAACTCTCCTCCCTGCCACGCGCTGTCACCGAAATGCAAAGGGACATCCCTGTATCTGACCGGCAGCAACGGCGTAACAGGGAAAAAAAAATGGTTCTTAATCTTCGCAGCACATCTTGGTGTGCAGGGATTTACTGCAGTCAAATCACTTAGCGTGGATGCCAGTTTACACCCTGGTACAAGAGATCCTGGGGCACAGGTTACTGGGAGACAACAACAGGTTTTGATACTGCCAATGAACGGGCTTTTCATCTGCTGCCCAGAACCCAAATGCCATCTGTCAGGACAGGCTCGAGCTGCCCCAGGACTCCCGCAGACCACGAGGTCTCGGTGCCCTCGCCGTGTTACAGCTGCGTCCTGGCAGACCTTTCCTCCCGCCTCCTCCTCACATCCCTGCAACAAAGCAGGCCGAGTCCAGACCCTGCAGACGAGCAGCCCCGTTTTACCCCAAATCGCCTGCTCTGCAGCTTTCTGAAGCCTGGTGTAGATCCTGAATCACACCCATCTGAAGCCGCTCTTGCTCTACCTCAGCTGGCACGGATGCCGTGGCCACAAGCAGGATCTCACTCACGTTGGGAAAAGAGCGGGCGCAGCATCCCCAGCACTGGGGTACAAATCCTGCTCTGGGTGCGGGGGACAGCGAGCCAGGGGCACCGCTACCCCATGGCACGGCACCTAGAGCTGTGTGGGGCCGCCCCTCGCCAGCACCTGCAGCGTGGAGCGAGGAGTGGGCGAGGGCACGAGGGGAGGGCGCAGGCTCCCGCTGCGCATCGCTGAGTCCGGAGGGATGAGGCTGGAGGTGGAATATGACCGGGCTCGGGGTGAAATGGGCCCAGGTGCCCGAGGGCTCCCTTGCTCCCAAGCTGCCATGCTTCCTCCCGGCCCTCGCTCGAGCGGAGCGGGGCAGCCAGCAACCTTCTCCTGAAGCACAACCCCACAAGCTTCCCCCGGAGGAGAGGAAGGGCCTGAGCCCTGCACAGCCGGCCCCCCGGCCCCCCGCCCCGCGCAGCTGCCCAGCGCCGAGACAGACACACACGGGGCTCCCTGGGGATGGCAGCGGATGGCGGGCAAACGGAGTTGCTTTGCGTGTCATGCAGTGGCAGCCTCGAGCACAGAAATACCTTCGTCTTCATCCCCGTCATTATCCGCTAAGTCCTCTCCCTGTTTCTTAGCGCTGGCTCCTAGGGACCAAACACGAGGAGACAGAACAGAAAGGAAAACAAAACAAAACAACAACAACAAAATAAAAAAAAAAAAGAAAGAAAGAAAGAAAAAAAAAAAAACAACAAAAGAGAATTCAAAAATAGCATGATAGCAGAGACGGTGGGGCCAGGCCTGCGCCCCACAGCACTGCTGGCTACTCACACTGCACCTCTCCCAGAGCCACGGCAGGGCAGGGGCAAGGCTGCCCCGGCACCGCGATGCCGCTCCCCGGGGCCCTTCCCAGATCCTCCCCGGGGCGCTGGGGGCAGCGAGCATCCCCGAGCATCCCCGAGCATCCCCGAGCCGTGTCCCCGCCTGCCCCTGCGGCCCCGTCAGGCAGCACAGCCATGGGGTGCACACAGGGGGCCCCACCGCTGGCTGTCCTCTGCCACCAGCACGGCCAAAATGCCATGGTGCCCTGCAGCCCTGCTCGTCGCACCACAAACCACTGGACTGTAATGGGAGCATCCCCATGCCACAAAAAAACATCGGTTTCTGTAAGGTCCTGCAAAACTCGGAGGTCCCGCCAAGCACCAGCATGGTCCCAGTGCCCTGTTCCTATCAGCCCAGCTCTGTCCCAGCAAGGGGCAGCTCCATCAGCGAGGTGCAGCCTTGGGTAAGGATTAGATGAAGTGAAAGTGGGTGCAAGAGTGGCTGGGAAGCCAAAATTGGGGAGTCACTCCCACTGCCACCCCGGGAGGTGACAGAGTGGCACTGTCCCACCTGCAGATGGCAGGGATGAGGGGACAGGATTTGAGTGTGACAGCAATCAGTGATACGGGCAGCTCCGTGGGGCCAGGTGCAAACACCCATCCTCAGCAGGGATAACCCGCGGTGCTGGCCGAAGCCCTGGCCGGGGACAGCAGCCCCGTCCCGCTCAGAAGACAAGAGCAGGGCGTGAGGGGGAGCGGCGAGGCGCAGCCGCTGCTGGTGAGCTGCACGGCACCCTGTGCTGTGACCTTCTGCTGGCAGCCCACCGAGCTGCCAGGACCAGGAGTCTGGAAAATCCGTCAGCAAGTGAAGTTTGAGGGAGACAAGGTCACCCAAATGCTGACAGCAGGAAGCTGAAGGGAGCTGTGCTCACGGCCTCCCCAGGCAGGACAGGACGCGGGGCAGCGGTGACACGGGAAAGTGGCTCCTGCTGCACGGGGCAGGGTTAAGCTGGGCAAATAGAAAACCTTTCTGGCAGATAGGGCTGAAAAGCAGTGGAAGTGATGGCCTGGGGAGGGGGTTAAGGAGATGTGTGACAAATGCTGGGCACACGTTAGGCGGAGCAGCTCCTGTCCTGGGGCAGGGACATCTCCAGAGCCAGCCCGGTGATCTCCGAGTTCACCTCCCAACCCACTGCTCTGTGTCCTGCCTCCTCACAGCCGTCCGGTTCCAGCACCCCTCCAGCCTCACCCCAGGAGCCCCTGCCCTCTGCCCTGGTGCCCCAGCATCCCCCTCCTGCTGTGTCCCCTTCCCCAGGCGGCACACACAGCCCCAGCCTGCCTGCAGACAGGCGCCGTGGGCTTGACCGGCTGCATCTTCGACAGGGAGAGCTGCGAGCCCAGAAAGCACTCAAATGACAAAGTACCCGTGCAGTGTTTGCTACGCAGAGCTCCTCTCCAGCTTCCCTGGTAATGCACGGGGAGAGGGATTTTCTCTAATGACTGCTGCAGGCAGCAATCCTTCACCCGCCCCGTGCTTCGGAGCTGTGGCTGGGAGAGGTGGCACAGCGTGGGGAGGGAGCTGGCTGGGGCAGCCGCAGCTGTAGCGAGTCCAGCCGTGCTGCTCACCCCACAACTACACCGATGCCCCGCAATCCCACAGGAGAAACAACACAGTAGGTGCTCTCACACCTCACTGTTTGCTCGGTTGCCTCCCAGCACCTGCTATTGCAGTGCCACCGCAGCAGGAGATGCTGCTCTGCTCCAGCACGGGCTGCAGCCCACAGCCCAGCGCTGCCCTCCTGGCCCACGAGCTCCATGGGCTCGTCTGAGCTTGGTTCACAGCCGGGGAAACCAAAGGACTTGTGGCTCCTGCTCTCCTCACCCATCAAAAATTCATTCTGCTCACCCAGTGCCAGTGCCTGTTACGCTGCTTGACTGCGCGCTGACTGCGGAGTGACACTGTGCGGGGTGATAGGAGGGATGCACGTGCGCTTAGCTGAAGTCCCTAGGAAGACTTAAGCCCAAGTTCAGAAAAAACAAAATCAGTTTTCCTTAAACAGGAGCATCCGCACCGGATTTATACTATCTTAAGCAAACTGTTCCAGTAGCACCGACGCCAGTGCAAACAGTGATAAAGAGGGCAGGGATCCCAGCTCCTTGCAGCCGTCGTGGTGCAGATAAGAGAGGAGCAGGAGCAGGACCCAGTCCTTCTCCGGCTCCAGCAGCCGGGCAGGAGCCTTTCCTCCCTGCTGCCCGGCGCCTCCCTGCCCCTGGGCGATGCTGAGGAGCCATCTCCATCCTCCTGGGGCTCCACAAAAGCGACAGACTCCTCGTGCCCTGGTGCCTGCCAGCACTGACGCTGCCCCTCACCTTTGTACATCATGTCCTGGCACAGTAGCAGAGCACAGGGGTGGCCACGTGCCCCCAGCCACGCCACAGCGGCCAGGCTGGTCCCTAATAAAAACCAGGGGGTCTGAGAGGAGCATCCATAGGCCCTGTGCTGTGTGCACGTACACGCTCCTCCGGTGGGCAGAGCTTTATTTTCACAGTAAAACACGAGCAGCAGCTGAACCTAGACGGTTCAACAGATCCTCCTGCGCTGTGCATGGCGAATTAGTCCCAAAGCGCTGCTGCCCTGCCCTGTCCCAGGAGAGGGGAGCGATGTGCACCCAAGCAGGAATTAGGGCAGAGAGACAGGGATGTTTTTGTGTCTCGTGGAGACGGGGATGATTTCTGATAAAATCTTAGCCCTTTGGCCGCTATGAGATGAAAACAACAGCGAGGTGAGAGCCAAGGCATTTCAAACCACCAAAATACTAGACAGGCTCTCGCTCTGCGAGAGGAGAGCTCGTTGACCAGTCATAGACAAAATGGCCTTAGAAATAGTAATCAGGAGCATTGCTGGACAAGATGATGTTCAAATGACACCAAGTCCGAACAAACAAGCGCTGCAGGTGTGTTATCCTCGCCCTAAGCACTACTAACCCAGGACATTCAGAGCTAAGTGCCTCTTCACAAGTGATTCAATTAATTCGAGTCAACAGACACCAGCTCAGCGGCCGGAGCTGAAGGGCAGCGGCAGCAGCTGGGCGCTTTAATCCTCTGCACATCACGCCTGGATGCCCAGATCCCTGGCTCTGCCAGCACGGGGCAGGAGGCACAGGGCAGGAGGCACATCCCCGCCGCCTCCCCGGGAGCTGCCACCGCATGGCACAGCCACCAAAGGCATCCTCAGAGCCACTGCAGGGGAACTGCTGGCGGGCAGAGCTGGTGGGGGGGCAGAACAAGGAGGAGAAGGCACCCGAGGTGGTTCATTGTGCCCTCTGCCACCCCTTCTCCTGCCCTACCCCAAGCCCCTCTGCTCTGCCCGGGCTGCGGGGGGCTCCCACGGGGACCCCAGCCCCAGAGGGCCGGGAGAGGAAGCGCTTTGAAGTGTCTCGGTGTCGCTGGCACAGCCTGCGCCGGAGGCGGCGTGCGGAGACTCCCTAATGCGCCAGCCCTTTCAGGGGCAGCCTTGGCACTCGGAGAGATGGCGTGTGAATAGCCAGGACAGCCACAGGAAAAGCAAAGCAAAGAAACCAAACGACAGAACTCAGGGAGGGGGGGGAAAGAAAAACAACAACAACAAAAAAAATAGTCGCTGGAAGGAAAAGAGCTCCCCAAACCTCTGAGCCCAGCTGCGCCAGCCCCGTGAAACGCGGGGGCACGAAGAGAAAAGCGGCAGAGCCGGGGCCCCCTGCGCGGGGTGCCCGGCACGGCGGTGCGGAGGCGGCGGCAGGCGGGGAGGGCAGCTCCAGCCCGGCAGGACACCTCCTCCTGAGCCTTTCAGAAGAGCTGCTCGGCCCGGCCGCGGGCACCTCGGGGTGGCGAGGAGGATGGGGTGATGCAGGGAGCAGCCTGGGCTCTGCCTGCCTGCGTGGGGCTGGGCGGTGGGATGGAGGGAGCATCCTCCAGGGATTGAGGGAGACAGGAGGGGTCTGGTTTGTGCATCTCTGCTCCCCGGCTCGTGGCACTGGGGTTGGATCGGGATTATTTTGGGTGCCCAAGCTGCAGTGCAGCGGGAGGAGCCCCGCACAGCCCTGGAGACAGCGACGAGACAAAGCGGAGCTGTGTCTGTGCTGGAGATGCTCTGCCGCCTCCGGGGAGGCTGCAGCTTAGGGAGGGTGCGATTTGAGGAGGTGGAGAGCACATCCTGAGCTCGCACAGCCGTGTCTGGGAGTGTCTGTATGCGTGTGCATGGATGAATATAGGGATGCACACAGCCCTGCCAGCACAGCCGAGGGCAGAAAGGGGGCTGGGGCAGAACATGGCAGTGTTTACATGGCCAGGCCAGGACTGATGCTTTAACCACAGGGCTCTGGCTGCTAACGACAAAGAGGGGAAGAGCTCAGGCCCCATCTACAGCCAGGTGCCCCCCTGAGCGGGTCGGTACCCATGGGTGGGAGGGAGCCCCTTGCTCTGTGAACAGGCGCATTTATGCGTTCCCCATGACCAAAGGGACCGGGAAGCAGGGGCTCAGCCTGCCAGCAGCTGTTCTGAAAGGCCTGGGAGCACAGGAGCATCCTGCTCTGCCCTCAGCCCGGCCGCGGGGCAGGAGCCCAGGCGGCCGCAGCACCCGCGGGTCCCTGCGTGCGGGGAGCGGGCGGCAGCAGGGCAGGGCTGCTCGGGGCCCGCGGGCGGTCGCGGCACAGAGAGGCGCTGGAGGAGCACGCCGCGGGGCCAGAGAGAACCGACAGGCACCCTCTCACTCTCTCTCACTCTCTCTCTCTTTCCTCTCTGTGCCTCTCTGCCGGTCGGCTTGCTACATACCTCCTTTCCTACATATTTTCTTGTTGGGCTTTCGGGTGCATTCCTTGGAAATCCGTTTTACTGTAAAATGAATAAAAGACTACAAAATAACAGGAGGCTCCACCGGCTGGAGGGGGGCATGCAATCACAACCACGCTGCCGCCCACCCGCCGCCCCGGGACCGCGGGAGGTGGGGAGGGAGCGGCGCCGTGGGAGGAAAACTCTGGGCCAGCCGTGCTGGGCGGGTGGGAAGGGGCGGCCGAGAGCCCACCGGGACGGAGGGGCAGAGCCAGGCGAGGCTGCCCTGAGCAGGGGCAGAGCTGCCCCGTGTCCCATCCAGCCCCCTGCAGCCCCCCGGGGCTCCCGCGGTGGTGAGGCTGTGGCGGGCACGTGGGCAAGGTGCTGCCTCCTCCACCCTCTACTTACGGTTCAGGTGGGGTGCCCTGCGAAGGAAAAGGTTAGCCAGGAGGCAGCCGGTGCTGCTCGGCCTCACCACCGCGGGACCGTGCCCCCTCAATGCTCGGCTGCAGCTGCAGAGCGATGCCCCCAACCTCCCGCCTGCACCAGGATCCCCCAAAAGGGCTTCTGCGGCCCCAAAAAGGGCTCTGTGGCCCCTTCCTGGCCCGAGCAGCCCGGCCCCGGGAGAGGCAGAGTGTTCCTCCCAGCGGCGGCCGCAGCCCGTGCCCACGGCTAGCGCATGGACCTGGGGGTGGGAAGGGGGGAGGAAGGACAAACCCAAACCAACTCAAGACAGAACCTGGCACTCGGCGCCTGGGGAGCACAAACCAGCTCGTCGCTCTGTGGATCTGCGGTCAGAGAGTCTGATTCAGATTTAGCAACACAAGAGAGGAACCCGTGACGATGCCATGGAGGTGGAAGGGAGAGAGGGGAGGGGGGGGACCAAGAGGCAGTGGAGGGGCGGGAGCACGCGAGACAGAGATGGCAGCTGAGGGCGAGCTGAGTGGCCAGAGGAAGCTTTCCACGAACAGACAGCATGCTGCAGGGTCCACAACCACATGCGGCAAACACAACACCCAGGTGAGACCAACCGCTGCTGGGCAGGGGCAGGGGCAGGGGCAGGGCGGCCCCCCCTGCCCTCCCAGAGCGCTCGCTCCTGCGGGCGCCCCGGCGGGGACTCACCATCCTCCGTGGGGATGTAGATGTTGAGGTACAGACAGTCCTCATTGGGGTCCTGGATGTAGGTGGCCACGATGTCCAGGTTGGAGGTAAACCAGATGGGCAGCATGATCTCGGGAACGGCGTTGTGGATGTTCTGGGGGCAGACCGGCGAGAAGTGGGTAGCGTTCCTGATGCCCGACCAGGAGGGCGGCGGCTCGGGGGGCATGAACCTCTTCTCCCCGACGGGGGGGGCGGCGTAAGGCACCCCCAAGTACTGGTCCACGGGTCCCAAAATCTCGCTGGGCAGCGGCACGCGCACCCCCCGCAGCTTCCCATAGTGCGTGTTGACGGTGGGAGAGTAGACCTGGCCCTCCATGCGCACGACGGCCGAGGCGAAGCTCAGGACCCACAGGGCGAGACGCAGGTCCCAGCCGGCCACCAGCTCAGGCACTTGGAGAACAGGGGGCAAGAGAGGGCTTCTCCAGAGTATCAGCCACATCGTCCGGGAGGAGCAGCACCAACATCCAGGCCTGAAGCTACCTGGGGCGAGGGCTCAGCGCATCCCCATCACCGCAAGCCTCCGGTTTTCCCAGCAGGAACGGCCAGATCCGTGGGGCGGGAGAGCCCGGAGACTCAGGGACAGAGCCCCGGAGCGACGTGCCACCGTGCCTCAGAGCCTGCGAGCTGCCTGCTGCGGTCCCCCTTCGAACGGCCCGGCCCGGCTGGGATTGCTGATGCTGCGGAGAGACGGAGGGAATTAACAGCAGACACCCTGCAAAGAGCCACAGGGCTGCAGCACCCGGGGGTGCCCGCTCCTACCTGGGCGCAGAGCGCTCCCCGTGCTCAAGAAGGGGCTGACGTTCACCCCCCCGGGGCAGGAGCCTGGGCTGGGATGCTGGGGAACACCCGAGGTGCTCCAGGAGACGGAGCCCCGAGCACGTGCAGGACACACAGACAGCGCCCGGCCGCACACGCTGAGCCCACCCATGGCACAGAGGGACCCCCGGCACCGGCTGCTGGGTGGGCAGGGGTCCATGGCCACGTCCCCCCCCACTCTGCTGCCCCACACAGGGTGGTGGGGGGCACGGACACCGGGCAGGTGGCTGGGGACGGGGACCTGAGGCCGCGTGTCAGCGTGCAGGGCTGCGGCGGGGAGCCCTGGCTGGAGGCTGCATGGATTTCCAGCGCTCTGCCCTTCCCCTCCCTGCTCCGCCTGCCGCATTCAGGGCTTATGTAAGGGCCCCCCCTCGCCTCCCCCCGGCTCCCGGGGACGGGCACACCGTGGCCACGCTCGCTCGTGGGCTCCTGGCCTCGGTGAGCCGGTCCCTGCTGAAGGCACTGCTCGGGGAGGGGGTCAGAGGCTGCCGCCCGTCTCAGCCACACGTGCTTACCCTGGCGGGGACGGCGGCAGGGCACCTCCATTTGGCCCCAGAGCATCCTTAGGTGCCCACCTGGTAAAAGCTCTCCGAAGCTCGGAGGGGAGCAGAACTGCACTGGAATTACTGGAGCACAAAATAAGGGCTGTGTGCAGATGGGAGGAAGAGGCTCTGCTCAAGGCTCAGCTGGGCAGGGACTCCACTAATGGAGAACACCTCATCCAACGAGGAAAATCCGCAGAGAAAAAAAAAAAAAAATACACGGAGGGCGTCTCAAATCTGCACTGCACATGTGCAGGCAATTCACTGCCGGTCATTAAGGAAATGGGCCTGTGCTGTGCCTGCCCTCCTGGTATGCCCAGGGAACACAGCAGGCTCAGAAATCAGTGTCTGACAGGCGTAATAAGAAGCACTCAGCCCAGAAAATCACGTTGCTGCATCCGGTCCACCCGAGCAGTGAGGCTGTGCAGGGCTGGGAACGCAGATGTGCTTCCAGAGCCCACAGACAGCAGCGGTGTGAGACAGGGATGGCACCAGGAGCGATGGGCAAGGAGCAGCAGCAATATCCAGGGCCTGGGCATGGCCTGGGGACACCCGGCTGGGGACAGCCCTGAGGGGTGAGGTGTCACGGCTGGGGGCATCCTGCTCTGTGCCCCCGCCTGCTGCCTGACCAGGGGAGGTGGCACCAGACAAGCACGCACTGCAGGATGCTGACACTGCTGCGTTACCCCAAAACAGGTGCTGGAGCCTACAAAATGCAATGCGAGGGCAAAAGAAGCGTACCAAGGGCAGAAAGGCAGCCAAGGCACCCCAGCACCCCGAGCTCTGCGGTCACACCACTGCTGCTGCTGCCCCAGCTCCGGAGAAAAACCATCGCTCATCTGCTGAGCACGGCGCTGCTGGAAGGCAAAGCATCCAGCCCACATCATCTGTCCTCGTCCTTTGGATGCCGCGGGTTAGGATGAAGCCAAATTATTAATGAGTGTCGTATCTGGTTGGCACGCCTGGGCGCTACGGGCAGCCTCGATACTGCCCGTAGCTCCCGGCAGAGCCATTCGCTGCCAGCCCTCGTTCCTGCTCTGCAGGAGCACGCCGCAGCCCTTTGGCTTACCAGAGGATTCCCTGGCTCCGAGCTCTCCCAGAGCCGTGGCCGTGCATCGCCTTGAGCATGGCAGCTCCGGCACTGCCTCAGCCAAGGGATTTCACAGTGTGAGGCACACCGGGCACCACAAAATTAGGGCTGAACTCACCACCCTGCTTCCCATCCTTGGGGTGGCTGCACACCTGGCATAGCCGCTGTGTCGTTGTGTACTGCACAACAAAGAAGGGATCGTTTTAGTTTTATTTTTAAGTAAAACAGAGCCCAAAACAGCTTCTTGCTATTTCTCCTCCAGATTATGCTATCATGATATCCTTTTGGGTTGCTTAATCCTCACCTATGGCTCTTCCAACAGCTCTGTAAAACACGGGGAAATCTGAAGACAAAAAACTGTCTGTTATGGTAGAATTAAAGTTCCAAGTACACTTCCATAATGCAAATAAAATCATACTACGGGATTTGCAGTTGTCTCAAATTATGAGCTGTGTGAAGCATCACAGACGGAGGTGAGTTACGTTGGCAACAGCCAACTGTGTCCGGATAGAGATGCACAGTCAAGACCCAACAACCCTAATGTTACCTCGGAGAGCCACAGAGTGCTGACAATAAAATCCACATCACGCTATTTGAACATTTGTAATTCCAGATTTGGTTCCATCGTTTTTTTACAGACTTTTCTCCTCCATCTGCCGATGCCCCTGCAGCACAGAATAAAGGCACCCAAACAATCTCAGCAACATGCTCCTAAACCCTCCTATATTTGGATTGGTTTTCAATTACAAAAACAAAAACAACGCAAGCCCTAAATCTGGAACTCCCTGGGTTTCAAACGCCTCATTTGGGATGATTACAATCCCCCCGAAACACATCTTACCCGCATATTGCTGTTCTGCGCTCTGCGCTCCCTGCTGTAACTTCGTGTTAGCGTAACATTTAGTAGGGGAATTTAGCCTTAATTTAATATCGACGGGCTGCCACCAACACCAGCGCCCAGCCCTCTCCACCGAGGCGCTCCCGGGGGCAGCTGCAGGAGCCCTGCATCGCTGCGCTCACCCCAGCGGGGCTGAAGGCTCCTTCCCCCAGCCTGCCCAGGCGCACGCAGTAATGAAGGAGAAGATCCAGGAGAGGACGTTTCGTTCGGGAAGCTATTCCCTCGCATCCCACGGGAGGTGGGAGCGAAGCGTCCCCAGGATGAGCCGCCTACGGCTCCTCCCGCTGCTCCCGGCCAGCCCAGCTCTTCCCCCGGCAAAGGTGGCTGCTGCCTCCCCGCAGCCCTCGCGAGCGCTGGAGGCTGCCAGTAGGAAATGGAGGCTGCCAACTGGAAGTGAAACCCGGCTCGCCCGGGCAGATACGGCCAAGCTGGGGACACCGAGACGAGCGCACGAGCGAGGAGCCGGGAGAATAAAGCCGCTGCAGGCATCCTGGGTCGTCCTGCCAGACCGCGGAGGGCGGCTGGTGCGAGCGGAGGAAGTGAGGCTGCTAACTGTTAATGATTTTATTCATGCATCTTGGAAAACAAACGCTGTATCGGTATTTCCACGACTGTACTGTCTGCCAGGCTGCTCCCTCCCCAACAACAAGACGCTCTCCATGGAAACCTGAGCAGGCGGATCCCGCGAAGCCGCGGTTGCAGATGCACAGCGAGGCGTCCCCGCGCCAGCCACAAGAGTCGGATCCACACCTCTGCTGGCTGAGAGCTGTGGGCGAGCGCTGCCAGGCCGGGCCCTCGCATCGGATCTCCGCTCCCCTCCCAGCAATCCGCACCCCGCTGCTTCCCTCCCCGCCAGCCCTCTCGCTGCTCTCCTCCTGCACGCAGCGATTTCGGCTCTTGCCAGCCGCCGGTGCCTTCTGCCTGGCTGGCGGTGCTGCACAAACCTCAGGAGCACAGGAGCTGCAGCAGCACCGGGCTGATGTGCCCGTGTCCCTGGGCCCCAGCATTTCTCTGCCAGCCATCCTCTGCTCTCACCCTCCGAGGGTTTTGGCCAGGATTGGTGCTGGAGGGTAACACTACGGAGCAGTGGTTAAGCACAACGGGTTGTGCCCAGCGGGTCTTTCTGACACCAGGTTTCTCATCCATGCTGCAGGCAGACGTTTCCCTGTCCTGCAGTGCTGGGGGAGCAGTTCTGGGAATTCAATCCATCACACAGCCTGTGCACAGCAATAAATGGTACCAGCGGCACTCAGTTACGCTGAGCGGGGACAAGCAGGGTTTCAGCAAGGTCTGCTGGTACAGCTCAGCGTTTCTCTGGGTGACCTAAATGACAGGACGAGGTATGTTTTAAAATCTGCACACGACACCCAGGGCTTTGGAGGCCAGGGCTGGAAGTTGACGTGCTCCTGACAAACTGGAGAGAGGGCTGAGCGGTGATGGGCAGGGCTGAGAGGCGCTGGCAGGAGAAAGCAGCAGCACAAATGCGGGCTGGGGAAGAAAAGGCAACAGTGCTTCTGCCAGGGGGGTCAAAAGGGCTACAGGGGAGTACAACCTGAGCGTGAGCCAGCATGTCATTGTCACAGGAACGGGCAAGTACTGGAGGATGTGTAGGACAGCTTATAAAGGCACACGAACTGCCTCTCGTTATTCTGCTCTCCTCCAGCTCATAACGATACATCAAGCAATGATGCTGTTCTCCTCTAGAGAACTGCTTCATCCCCCAAAAGATTTGGGCCAACCAAGAGAGGCCACAGGAGACCAGCAAGGCCACAAAAAGCCTGGGAAGCATGGCCTTGAACAGAAGCCTGGAAGACAAGTCCTGTCAGCAGGCGCAGTTTTACAACGTGGAAAGGATGCTGCAAAAAAACGCCCAGAAGTCTGATGCTGAACTCAGTGCTAGGCAGTCATGGCAGCGTCCTTCCCCTGCCCTAAAGCCTGACCCTCCGTGGGCGAGAGCCATCGGTGGTGACCCTGATGGACACATCCCATCATGGTAGCCGAGCTGGGTTCAAGGTGGACTCGGGGGAGACAGATCCAAGGGCTAAAGGTGCATGCACCACCCAAACCCGGCTGGCATGCAGATATGGCTAGTCATCAGTCGTCCTACCCCATAAACAGAGGACAGCCCAGAGCCTGCTGCATACAGTCCTCCAGGCATAAACTGTTAAGCCTGGGATTGGGATAGGATCCGGTCATATCTAGGCTCCTCGGAGTTTGGACAGCAAAAGGAACTCTGTGCTGAACCTCCTGGCTCACCGTGAGGGTCTCCCTGAGGCTTGCAGTCTGACCCTCTCCTCTGTGCAGTAAATAATGAAGTGGCCTTGCCATCACGAATCTTGTTAATGTCACATTTACCATTAGAAAATTGTTAAATCGCTGTCTCGCTCACAATTAAGCACTGCTAAATCACTATTTTCATCAATAAATATATTGCTGCTTCGCTCGTGTGAGTGAAGTGCGGAATTCCTTTGTGGCAGGAGGAGACGCTTCCACGTTAAGAAAGGAGAGCCAGGTGTACACCAGGGAAGGGTAAAGGTAAGCTCATCAGTAAAGGGTGCTCCAAGGCAGGTGGACAGAGCAAATGACACCTCGGTGTCCCCTCCAGCCCAGTCCCCTCCACTTCTCATTCCCCTGGCTGGCAGCTCTGTCCCTGCCCTTGGTGGCTCAGCATCTAGTGAAAGAAGAGCCATCTCGGCCATGAAACCATCAGTGTTTCGGAGGCTCTGAGGGAGCAGAGCACTCTGGAAGCTTCCCAGCAGCATGGAGCCCACCACAGCTGTCCCCTGCTCTGCAGGTCTCCCTGAGAGCCCCGTGCCCCCATCTCGTCCTCCTCCCAGAGGCACATCTGCAACACCTCCGATAGCACGGCACCACAGTCACTCTGGTGGTACAGAGGGAAAAACAGCCACAAACCTCACCCTCATCCACTTCAATTGCCAGATGCTTCCCTGTGACCCGCCTTTTCTAACTTCTACCCACAGTATCACCAGTACTTAAGCAAAGCTGAACGCCAGGAGCCGATGAGACACTCAGCTGTGCATCCAATGCCCTGGGGAGAAGAAAGATAAGAGACCTCAAGAGAAGCCTCGGTTAAGTTCCTCAGTGCTGCAGGAACATATGTGGGACAGAAGCTCTTAGACAACTCCCAGACACATGCCGAGATCCTCGAGAGCTCCCATTCAGAACAGCAAAAATGTTGCCCCAAATCCCTAGAAATTTCGGTGCCACTTCTGCTGCCGTGCCAACGGCCCCCTGCTGCGATCTGGCCCGGCCCCATTTCCTCCACGCCTGGTGAAAGGTCCTTCAGGAAGAAGCAGATCCTGCCCGCCTCGGGAAGGACTCCAGGAGCAAGGCAGACCTTTCCCTTGCCCACACTCCTGCCTTTCCAGACTTTCTTTTTCACTGGAACTGGCCTCCCCGAGAAGCTGCGGGTGACCCATACCTTGAAGGTGTTCGAGACCAGGTGGATGAGGCGCTGGGCAACCTGATCTAGTGGGTGGCATCCCTGACCATGGCAGGGGGGGATGGAAGTGGATGGGCTTTAAGGGCCCTTCCAACCCAAGCCATTCTGTGCTTCTGTGATTTTTGGTGTCGATCCCAGTGCACTGTTCGACGCCCTGCTCCTGCCTCCTCCAGAAGGCACACAACCCAGCGGGTGACATAACCTGGCTCCCTTCCAACTCCCATTTAGCATCAGAAGCTCCAAAAACGCAGGCAGTATCTCAGTGTCACTGTGCAGGGAGCGGCGATGCTGCTGAAGGACAGCCGGTGAGCACTGCAGCAGGGACAGTGGTGGGGTAAGCACCCAATACTGCCGATGCAAGTGCAGGGTGGCCTCCGTAGAGGATCCAAGGACAACCGTGTTCGACAGCCTGGGCTGTCTGGGCGTGGGCCACACGTTCACCTTGAGCCGGTCTCCATTTCGACTGACCTTCCCACTCACTGCTTGCCAGGAGCGTGCAGAAGGCTGGGGGAGGGCCGCACGGCACAGCAAGCAGCTGCTGTGCGAGCAAGAGGCTGTGGGACAGATCCCTGGCTGTGAAGAGGGCAGCGGCAGCAGCCTCTTGGTGGGCTGCCGGACTTCCACGCCGCTCGCAGACAGCTGCTGGAAGTAGGCCGTTCAGTGCCACGTTCTGGGTAGAAATAATCTGGATTATCTCACGTTGCAGCTTCCCTGACCTCAGCACAAAGAAACGGCAGCAGCTTTTCTCTCCCTCACCTTGCCGCTTGCACGGATTCAGTTCACAAACGCTTCCCTGCAGGGGCAGAGGCTAATGAGAACCACTGTCTAAACAGCAAACACAGTGCCACGGCCTTGGCACGGATACACACGCGCTTGCTCCCCAGCCAGAACAACTGGCAGCGAAGGAAGAGCGCCTGACCCAGCCTGGCAGATCAGAGAGCCCCGGAGGATTGTCCAGAAGCCCCTGCAATAGGGCTGCACATGCTGCGCCCTGCGCCCTTAGCAATAGCCAGATGGGGCATTGCTGTACGGCAGCTTAAATGGGCCCTGTCCAGGCTGGCAAGAGAGGCAGAGTGGTGTCAAGTAGGGTAGAGCAGTAGTGCCAGTTGGAAGGGGTCCACAGAGATCACCGAGACCGAGACTCAGAGTCAGAATACCTCAGGGCAGACCCCAGGTTAAAACTTAGCTCCTCGAGTGTTATCCAAATACATCAAACACGGACAGGTGCTGGGCATCTACCAGCTCCCTAGGAGGCTCTTCCCTTGCCAACTACCTTCTTGGTAAAGGAGATTTTGCTAATGTCTAGTCTGAACCTCCCCTGGTGCAGCTGTGAGACATTCCCACATCCTGTCACTACATACCCGGAGAAGGGAGGAGCACCTCCCTCCCCGCATCCCCTCCTCAGGACGATGTAGGGTGCCATGAGGACACTCCCAACCTCTTGTCCTCCAGTCCTGAGAAACCCAAGTGTCCTCAGCTGCTGCTAGAGCCATCGAATGGGAAGGGACCCACAGGATCACTGAGTCCAACTCCTGGCTCCATACAGAACCACCCCAAAAACAAACTCTACATCTGAGAGCGTTGTCCAAACACTTCTTGAACTCTACCAGGCTCAGTGCCATGACCACTGCCCTGGGGAGCCTAGACCCTGCCTGCAACCCTTCCAGCACCCGGCCACCCCTTCAGCACCCAACGGGCTGAGCCCAGCACCGGGCCCACCGCCAAGGCCACCTGAAGGGCACCGGGCTGGTTAGTGCCAGCTAGTGACCTGTGGGGCATCGACCACCTTGGCCATGCTAGGGAAATAGCTCTGTGAGCTAAGATCCACGCTCTGCAGCTAGCAACTGGTGCAAACCTC